CCTCCAGATAGCTAGGGCTATAAGCCCATGATTTTAATTCTGTTTTTAAAAATTCCTTTTAGCCATAGTTGCTTCATATTTCTTGACTTTCCATTCACTGACTTCTGTCCTTAGAACCCGAAGTCTATACATTTGATTGATGGATATACTTACAAATATCGATCTGAATGTTCTTTACAATGTCTCTGTAGACCTGAAGTGAATTTCAAAGTTTTCTTTGGTAAGTTTCAGTTCCCCTGACTTTAGTTTTAGGAAATAAGTGTCTCATAAGTCATTATTATTCCCTTTTCCTCAGTAACAGACATTATTGCACAAGACTTTTGAAATTATGAGGTAATTGCATCATGTATCCATTTAACTTATGAACTTAACTCTATGCTTTCAGGAAATGGGAGAAAGGGAAGATTACAGACATTTCTGCTCTGGGAAATTGTCAATGCCACCTATCTTTTATCGATGAGCACATGCTTAGAGTGTTGGTGATCCAAAACACGCATCTCCATCTCTCTGTACATTCATATCATACTGATGGGCATTTGTTCAGTCATCTCACTGTGAGGAGTATAATTCTTAAGTTGCTTTTATAAGAGTTTTGTGAGGAGAGGGTCTCATGTAGCCTAGGTTGGCTTCGGATTCACTATGTAGCTCCTGGTCTTCCTGCCTCCAAGTGTTGGTAGCACAGGCATATGTCACAGGACCCAGTAATTCTTATACTTTGAAGGTATGGCTACATGAAGACACAAGTGGAAAGTTTTACGTCTGTGACAAGACACTGGCAAAGACAAAGTGTGCTATGAATGTTGTAAGAGATGGTCTTCAGGCAATTCGCGCAGCGTGTAGATGAAACAAGTGAATTTTGTGTTTACACTTGGGTCTATCCCCAGGGTACCTCATTGTGTACATACAAACTTCTAATGTCTTAATAAAATTAGATATACTTTTAGTCCTAAGCTCTTTTGGATAATGGCGATAAAACTCAAATATATCTATATGTACACAGGATATAGCAACTAAATATAAACTAATTTCATTTGTGACGATATTAAAGAACAAGCCATTTATTCTAATAAAAAGTAAAAATAGACTGTTTGATTCATTGAGATAATATTCATGTATATACAGTATTTTGTGCAATATCAGGAATTTTTAAATGCAATTTGCCTCATAATTTAATATCCTGAATAAAGTTATTGTATTTTATTTAAAATTAAAGTAACTAGTAAAATCCTATAAAATTAAAAACAAGCAAGTATCAGAAATGCCCAATGATGTGTAAATGTTTTGATGTTGTGGTCTTTGAGACAAAGTTAGGCAGTGAGAAAATAGTTTATTGAATTTTGACTCTGCTGATAACTTCATGGGCTTAAGCTACTTTTTTTTCTGTTGGAAGCGTTTATTCTCACAGCTTCCATGGAATGTATTCCTTTCCCATTTCATGGTGTTGGGGACAGAACGCCAGCACTTACATCGGCTTGGCAAGTAGTCTCCCGTCAAGCTGCCTTCCTAATTCCCAAACTAGACACTTGCCCTGACCTACAGACTGCTGCGTCCAATTGACTTCTGTTCATCTCTCAACATGCGCTGTCTCAGCAGAAGGCCAACCGAACAAATGGAATTGCGAAGCTAAAACTGAAGCTTCACTTCCTATGTTCTCAGCCTCTTTGACTCTCCTCTCTATGCCCAGCTTTACCCTATGTCAGCCCTATGTCTCTGCTGTTCTGTCCCTCAGCACGTGACATTGCTATTTTTCATACAACACAGACACATGGTTAGGTATAGACATAACTTTTCCATGTCCCCCTTTGCTATGTGCAATACTTCCAACTTATAACTGCCCTTTAAATTAATTTACATGTCTTTGTTCTGATAGTAAATAGCTTGGTGGGAGCTGCCTTTGCCTTCCAACCAGATTACAGTAATGGTAGCAGCTACTATGTTTCCACATTGTTTCCTCTAGTTCTTACGGTTCAGGATGATGGAGGTGAATGTAAGAATGCTATTTCTGAGATTAAAATATTTAAGAGTACTTTTGTCTTGAGAATAAGTTACAAATTCCTTGATAAAGTTTACAAGGACCCATACAATTTTGTGTTGTTTCTCTCTCTAAAAAACAAAAAATCCTGAATTAGGACAGCAGTAACTCACCAGTTGAGTGCTTGCCTTACAGGCAGGGACCCTCGGTTCAATCATCAGTGTCCTCCTCCCCAAGTTCCCCAAAACGAAATTCAACCCAACCCAACCCAAACTGAAACAAAGCACAAAAACACTTGGGTGTATCAATCACTCCCCAGGGCAGGTTCCACACTTAGGAGTCCTCCCTCCCTCCCTCCCTCCCTCCCTCCCTCCCTCCCTCCCTCCCTCCCTCCCTCCCTCCCTCCCTCCCTTTCTTCCTTCCTTTCTTTCTTTCATACTGCTTCTACACTGGTCTTTCAAACCTACTTTTTTTCTTTTTTGGTTTTTCGAGACAGGGTTGTTTCTCTGTGTTGCTTTGGAGGCTGTCCTAGAACTCACTCTGTTGACCAGGCTGGCCTCGAACTCACAGAGATCCACCTGCCTCTGCCTCCCGACTGCTGGGATTAAAGGCGTGGGCCACCAATGCCCGGCCCTCAAACCTACTTTTTAATGCTTTTAGTTTTCATCTTATTCCCTTGTAGCTGTTGTCTAGGAAGATAATAGCACACAGATTCCTTTTTAGTTTTCCTCTCATGCATAACCTTGTCCTGGAGCTGAGAGAGGCTAAGTTATGCTTGATAAGAAGCCCTGTTGAGGAACCGCGAAGACTAATTCTAATTCCACTTCTGCTTATAGTTTGCTTCCAGGGTCTTTCCTTGCTCCCAGTGCATTAAAGAGTAAACACAATGATGAAGACTGTTTCCTCATTTATTAATTCCACAGGGTTTATCTTTTATACTTTTAGGTCAGAAAAATATCAGATATTCAAGTACATAAAAGATAGAAAAGTACACACACACACACATCTATCTATCTATATATACACATATATACAGTAATTTACTATTCAAAGCAACAATTCTTGGGGTAAAGAGACAGCTCAGGGGCTAAGAGCATGTACTGTTCTTCCAGATGACCTGAGGACCCATGTCACACAACTTGCAACTCCAGCTACAAGGAATGTGACTCCTTTTTCCTGACCGTTTTGGGTGCCTGCACCAGACTACTACTAAGAGGAAACTTGAATGCTTCTCTACAATGGAGGTAAGGAAGAGTATTCTGAGATGTAAGAGATCTTTAAGGGAGTGTCTAGATGTTCCCATGTCCTGTGATTAAAGTCAATGGGAAACTATAACCCAATCCAGGCAGGATGATAAAGGGTCAAGACCTTCAGGAATGAAGATATAAGTTGCTTCTTCAGGAAAAGAACCTGTATCTGTTGAGGTGCTTGCTGGGGGTGTAAGAAATACAAAATGGGTAGTAGAAGTTGTAAATACCAGCTAAAGCCACATGATGAGTTTCAGAAATAAGGACTGTAATTGACACCAGTGTTTCTGCCATATCTTGTTAAGAATGTGTTTGTACATATGTAGACACATATTTAGCAGACATTTGTGTTTTTCCCCTCTCTATCTTCATCATGTAATGTAACATCAATTGAGACATGTGGTGATGTATTGTTTATGATCTTATAAAGCCAGTGAAGATCAGAAAAGCAAAGCAGTAAGCCAGTAGCTCTTATCTCTACCAAGGCTGAAGTGGAGATCTTGTCTTCCCTGTGACTGGAAACTAAATCTCCCATGAGACCCTTTGCTCCTTCCTTATAGACCTGTCTAGTGCTGAGATTAAAGGCATGAGCTCCATTACTCTTTTAGACTGATGCATTCTCATGTAGCCCTAGGTGGCCTTGAACTCACAGAGATCCCTCTGCCTCTGTCTCCTGAGTCTTAGGAGTAAAGGTGTGGGCCATCACTGCCCAGCTTCTGTAGCTGTCTAGTGTGACTGGCTTTGCATTCTGATCTTCAGTGGCTTTATTAGGTCATAAACAATATATCACCACAGAGATAATAACAGTGGTTATCATATTTCAGTGATGAGACATTAAAAGAATGTCCCTCAAGGGACATTGCCACCTATTCCAAAATATATAATGCATTTGTGTTTGTCTGTAGGATACATATATTACCCATAATTAGTACCCAGTTATTGTTTGTAGTTGGGAATTAAGGATGACATAAGCAGATATGATATTATATTAAGTTGACAAGGGGTGGACTAATCTTGGCACACTTATGATTGAATCATTTTGAGGTAGGAAGACCTTCCCTAAATCTAGTGTCAGCCTACTTAAAAGGACCTAGAAGGAGAAAGTTTTACTTTTGATCTTCCTGCCCAGCTTCCGCTTTTTAGTTCATCTAGCCTACTGATGGGGCATTCCTTTGCTGATTAGAACATACTTCTTGGGCCTCCAACACAGACCAAAGACCGGCAGAAGACACTGACCTCATGGGTTGAACAATTACCAGATTCTTGGCCTTCCCATTGGGAGACAGTCATTGTTGCACTAGCTGGGCCAGTCTGTAAGCTACTCTAATAAATCTGCTTTTAATATAGGTTCATTCTTTCAGTTCTGTTCCTTTAGTGCATCCTAACACACACACACACACACACACACACACACACACACACACACACACACACACTGAAAACAACAACACTTTAGGTAGGGTTTTAAAATTAAAAGTATAAATCACTAGGCATCACATAATAAATATGTTAAAAGTTAGGTGGGGTTGAAATACCAGGGAATTATAAAATGTATATGAATCTTGCTTTACCAAGGACCTCCATGAACTTTTAATTTAAAAAGACTATGCATGATGAGTTTGGCGGCACATGCCTGTAATTTAGCACTTGGGAGGTAGAGATGGAAGGATCAGGAGTTCATGGTCATTCTCGGCTATATATTGAGTTAGAGGACAGCCTTGGAGACCCTGTCTCAGAAACACAACAAACACTATCTGAAAATAATGCTAACAGACAAAAACTAGGTTTTCCCAATGATTTTTTTTATTGAGGTAACATTTCCCAGTTTATACACACATATATATGCATATACATATACTCAGGAAAGCTAAGCAATGTTCTAAGGCACTTGGAACTGTGCACAGCGAAGTATCCTATTATATTATACTACAAGATAGAGTATAATTTTCCACTTTAAATAATGCAAACACCAATATGGAATAAAAAGGTCATATATGGTCTTTCAGGTTACAGTCATGGAATACATATGCTTCGGTGTGTATACTCGCAGCCATCATACCCACATACTATAATGTAGTACGGATTAAGAACAACCAAAAGGAGAAACTGTCGTGTTTATCCGGGTACAGTTCCAGTTATTAACACCCACAGAAAACAAACCTGGGTAAGGACTGGATCTTGCACTGGAGACTCACCCAGCTAGTCTGGAAATGATCACAGTTTACCGTCACTATCGCTTTAACCAAAGCTCGAATTAACAAACGAACACGGACAGTCCATTATGGAAAAAAAAAAAACCACTGTTACTTAGGGGGAAGAAAGAGAGAATTTTCAGCAGGCATTTAACTGGGGAAATATGCTCAGGGTGCTTTGAATACATCGGCATGTGTCTAAGCCACAGAAGAAATACTAAAGAATTAGTGCCTATGGCGTAAGTGATGAAAGTGGTTTGACCCTTAGCTCTAGCTAACTCCTTCCAAATGCTAGTTAGCACTACAGTGGCAATTTCTCATGGGGGATGCTCTCTAAGCAATGTAATGATACAGTCAAAAATCAAACCAGAGCTTCCATTAAGTGAAAAGCTCTGCCCTGCCTCCAGGCTGGCAAGTGGCACAAACATTATTGGCATTTTAATAAACCTCAGAATTGACCCGAGGGCGGAGTGGCACCTTGCCTCACTTACTCCATCATTCTCTTTTAAAAAATACTGTTATTAAGAAAGATACCAATTTCTAAGCACCATCTATAGGTTTACACTATAACCACCTTTATTGACTCTGAGTTGCTCTGCTTCAAGAAAAAGTGTCTTTAGAATTTTATTATTAAGATTATTAGAGTGGGAGGAATTAATTCCATCCTTGCAGCTAGCTGCAATTCATCTAAATATTTTTTCAAGACATACTGACTATTAAATTTCAGTGGCATAAAGAGTATGTTTCTGGATGGTTAGCACAGGTGACTGAGCTGCGCCTGGGGGAATACTCACTTGGTTTTGCATATCCTTGGCGCTGTGGTGTGAACAGTATGCATGCAACCTAGTTAACCTACCTTTCCGCCACAATGTCACATTTGCACGTCTTATTAGGAAAGCTGAACCACATGGATATGTTTACATGGGGGAATTCAAGCATTTCCATGTGAGTTAACTGTGTTGTCTATAGGCGGGGAGACGTGTCTTTTGCACCGCTGTCTATAGTGTCACCAAGCGGAATCTAATGTTGACTTCCAAAGACCATCTGTTTTGTTCAGAGCCACTGTGTCCCTGTGAGCAGCACTCTAGTTCTGAAGTGGAACTGTGAAGTGACAAACGCTTGCTTCCCGTATAACGCCCCCCGCCCCCAAGTATGTACAAGCATCAGGCCAGGTCCCTGTAATGGACAAGGTTGCCTGGCAACCCTCTTTCCTAGAGAGCAGGGCAATTTAAGCTGCATCTAAGCAGAAGGCTTGAAGTGGGTAGGAGTCATGCAAGGCAGTAGAGACGGTGTTTGGGGATAGGCACTTTCCCCTAAGTGTCCTTGTTGCAGTAGACAGTGGCATTCAGGTGATGGAGTACATCCTTCTGTAGGATGGTCGGAGGGCTTTTTTCTTTTTCTTTTTCTGTTTTGGTTTTCACAATGTCTGGGAACGATCCTGGTGTCGAGTCACTAGGAGCCTGGGATACTGAGCATCTTGTAACATGTGGTACATTTCAGCACAACCAAGAATTTCTCAGATCCAAATGCCAACAGCATCCCCACTGGGAAACATCTATCAACAGTTCTTTGTTCATAAGCAGCTGTGGTAGAGAAGCAACAAGCTAAATGGCATTTTCCTGCATTAAAATCCAACATGGCTAAAAATTGGCATTAGGTAGGAATAGCAGCCACAGAACTCTCCATTTCTTTCAAAAACCTTACAATATGTAAAATGAGATTTGTTCATTTGGGATGAAGCTGTCCACAAAAAACAAATAACACACAAAACAATATAACCATAACAAAAATAGATGATCTATATTACAGTTGCTTTCTAGAAATGCTAATAGTGGTTCAAGCTTTGAAACAGTGTTTAAGCTTAACAATTAAAAACAGGTAAATAGAAAGCAAAAATGAGAATGGTTTGGGGTTTTCTACAGTCATCTTCACCACCATCCTTTGGTCATTGCTTGCCTTGGGAGTGGAACCTAGAGTCCGTTTTTGGAACTCGGGTTTGAGTTGCCTAGGAATGCATGTTCTCTTAGGAAGCTGTTCCCATTAATTTGACAATTGCTTATTTTTCTCAGTGTTGTCCTTTCTAGCACATATCTTCTAAAGGTTCATTCTGCTTTGTTAACTGAAACATATCACCAGTAAGTAGACAGCAAATCCTAACAAAAAATTAATCATTTTAAGGGGTGAAGGGCCAATTTGTATACTCTAAAGATGCACGGGAGGGAATAATGATCTCCAAGTACAGCTTCTTTTACTAGTAATGATAAGTGGATACAGTGAGGATTCCGGAATGCATAAACAAATTCCCCATATTGATGAAAATGACATAAATCCATATATCTCATATTAGATTAAGTCTGTTTCACCCACACTAAAGGAAGTTTATTACTCTAAATTATGCTGTAGGACCATGCACAGATAACACAGGATGGACTTTTTGAGCAAGAGACGAAGGAAGAAAGAGAAAATATTTTACTGTTCAAATGCAGGAATACTGCTAGGTCATAGACAGGTCTCTTTCTACAGCTTAGTCTTGGGAGGTTTGTCTGTCAAGTGTTGGTGTGGGGTATATCAGGGTATGTGGTGTTAACCCACTTTTCTTTTTCTCTCAAGTACAAATTATTGTATTTTTTTAAAAGTGCCAGCACATCACTGAATTAATTGCAGGAGATGAAGTCTTACAGAGGTTCTAAGGGCTCACAACTCATTTTCAACATTTGGCATCTTTTGAAGAGTGTATTAGATTCTTCTACTTCTTTAAGTCTATTTTCAATTAGATTTGAGAACTTTCTCCTGACACCAGAGACAGCTAAGTGACTGCCTTCATTTCATTAATAAGGATGGGAAGAGGAAATGAGAAAGGCGACTCTTCTTGGTAAATCCGAGAACCTGGTCTGTTTGCCTTTTCCTTTTTAGTTAATAGCTGTTCAAATACTCAAGATGGTTCTCTGAATATTGTAGACTTTAGTTAAATGATTTAAGGAATAAACATAAAGGTAAATTACGGCTAACACAAAACCACAAGACATTTGACATGTATAGGAAATCACCAGTCAAGATCCCCCAGTGAATGCTGATTTGACCGTTTTTTTTTTTTTTTTTTTTTTCATGTTGGTTGGTAATGACCATGAGGCTGGTGAATGAAGGGGACTTAGTGCTTTTTCCATTACCTTATTATCAGCAGGGTTTCCCACCTCCATTTAAAAGCCAAGATGGAAGTGGCCACATCGTACATTCTACTTGGTCTAGTTCTTTCTTGCCTGGCACCGTCCGTGAGTTGGGCTAATTGTCTCTTTTCCATCATATTTCAGGAGTCAGGAAAACTCATTCATTTTCTCCATCGGCCTAATGGTACGCTTTAGTGAAATACTGGAATTGTGTTACAACTGCACCAAAAACAACGCCAACTTCTGCACACATTTATTTTCTTAGAGAATAGTGGCTTGCTGCTTGGGCTGTAGAAAAGCTGGCAGTGGGCAGAGGCATAACTTCAGGGAGAGGGAGACATGCCTTTGCCTTCTGTGGGGATGTCTGGGTGGGCTGCTAGCGAGGCTATGTAGCCTTTACATTTTTCTGCCTTTAAAAATTAACCATGAAAACAGAACCTTATTCTGAGAACTATAGCTTGGCTCATGATATTTTAATTCTGTTCATGGCCTAAAAAAAAAAAAAAAGGCAATAGATCGTTGTAACGAAGAAATAGGTGGTTCTAATTATTTAAATGTAAGACTACTGGTAGTTAATTTTTACATTTTTAAACTTCTCTGTAACTTACAAATTTTTCTCTAAATGGATGAGTCAGTATGAAGGAAAGGGATGTGAAGTTCATAAATGTGACAGAACATATCAGGGACACAGGTTTTCATTAGTGTAATACCAGGGATTGAACTGGGGGTTTCAGCATGAAAAGTGGCTTGTGTTTTGTAGTGGGAGAATATTATTGTGGACAGTAAAAATTGTATAATTCAGACCACCATGGGGAAAAAAGATTGTTCTTTTTAACAACCACATAGAAACTTCCTATGGCTCACACTTATTTGAATGACAAACTGGTGTGCACGTCTTGCATTTACAATGTACAGAGAACATGCAATTAGAAGTTGTTAAAAGTTCCACGATTATAAGCATAGGAAAAGAAACATTATCTGCCTTGGCATTTTTTCTCTTGACACTAAGATGATAATAAGGTATCACAAAGGAAAACTACTTTGCAAGTAATGAGAACGAAGTTAATTTTTATGGCTGAATTGAGACACTCACTACAAAACAAAGGCTGGGAGTGCAGCCCAGGGGTTCTAGAGAATGTGCAGAGCATCCACAAGGCCCTGGTTCAATCCCAGCACTGTAAAGCAACAACAAACAAACAAGTCCTCAGCCAAAGACAAATACCGGGGCATGCACAGACATTATCCCCAAAGCAAAGTCTGTCTTATGCCATTAGTGAAATGAACTAGTGTAGGTTGCAGCCTTGCTTTATTAATGCAAATGGCTAAGTGTAGGGAAGGGTACAATACTGCTGGTTACCTCATGTGATGGTCCTCCTGCCGCCAACCACTTCTACTTTTAAATGAAATCATCAGATTTCAAGTGGTTCTTCCAAATACCACTGAGTGGTGGGACACACACTTATTCAACTGATTAAGCGCTGAGTTGTCAGCAGAGATAGAAAATTACAGGCTTCCATGTTCTGAAGCAGAAATACTTCACAACAGTCATCATTCCAGATCAGAGAATAAGATAGACTTGACACAGATTCTGCCTCCTCTTTTGAAAAAAAAAATCACAATAAAAAAAATCTTATGCTTTTAATCCAAGAGGCCCAAAACAATCGTTAAAGGGCAATGAAATTCAAGGTAGTATTTACAAGTGAGCCCTTCTGGGGTTCTGTGCCTGATACCACAGAGAAGAGCAATTTTAGGGAGGAAGCTTCTCAATGTAAACAAGACTGATTACAGGCTCTCGGGGAAACTATGCTGAACTGCTTCTCTGGCATGGGGAGTGAAGACTGTATGGATGGATGTGACCCACAGACTTAGCATAGAAGGTAAGGTTTCCTTTACATAAACCAGCAATTTTCTGTGTTCCTTTAAGCCTTAGGGTATTTTTGTTAAATCTACGTGCTTGATTTTTTTTATAATAGCAGCAACCTAACATTTAAAAATTTATAATGCAGCACTCAGAACTACATGGTACTTTTTATTATTGTTGTTCCCCTTCAGGACTTGGAGCAAGCAGCACACACTTGTATGTTGCAACTCTGGGTTGAGTTTTTGTAAAAAGGGTGTCATGATTGTCCATATATAATCTTCTTCCGATAATGAATGGTTCCCTAGCTTTGGAGATAATTAAGACAGGGAGTTATTTCTAAAGCTTGCAACAGATTTGCAGGGTCACATTGCATCTGACTCTATATATTTCTGCTACCCTTGTAGCAGGCTCACACATTAGGAAAGCAGTCTAAGAAAACGTCACGTGGATAGCTGGGTTACTGAAAGCATGCAACACAGTGCAAGCAAGCATGCTTGCTAAGAGTTGGTAGAGGCTTCTTGCACTTAACACGTACAAAGATTTGTTTCTGGCAACTGGGTTCACTGGCACAACAGAAAAATATGGTACTACACAGAACCAACTTATTGGTGAAACAAGAATGTTCTGGAATCAAGTCTTTAAGGAAATCCTCATTGGTTGAGTAGGTTCCCAAATCCTGTAGTAAGTTCTTAGCTACCAAATGCCTATTTCAAAAATATACTTATCTTCATGTCTTTTCTTCATTAACATAATGAAACAGTCCTCTTTCTTATTTGTAGTTTCCACCTTGTTGGGGTGACCCCCAACAATTCCAATGTCTATTGTTTGTGAACCCACATGCACTATACCATTTGGCTTTCTGGTAGTCGAACTGGCGATTGTCTTCTGCTTGTCTCCTTTGATTACAATTTCTGACGAAGAACAGCTTGAGAGTACCAGAGTGTGCCTTACATTAGTGCACATCCAGGCAGCCAGGCTCGTTGCCTCTGGCTCTCAGCTTGTTGACCTCGTCTGGGCTGTCCAGGTGAGGAGCATTCTCAACCAAAGCCAAGTCACATGCCTCCTTCACCACAATGAAATGGAAACATGCACGGTCAAATCTCAGTGCAATGTTGGGGTCTCAGGAAGCCGGGCTTCTGCCAGGGACCATCAGTCTATATTTCTGAGCAGTCTCATGCTTTATTATGGACGATGAAACCTGGAGAAAAAAAACAGAAACTGTGAGTCTCTGGCATAGAAGCATATTCTTCATTTGGTGATGTAAGTAATTTGCAGAAGGCAGCTTTGACTATCACTAACCCAGTTGCTGTTAAATTGCTGCTGTAACAGAACCCTGTTACGTGTGTTATGTTGGGAAGCAGACATGATTCTTATGGAAATTATCTTAGTTTTACTATTCAGGCTCATAGAATAATGAAGACAAACCATCACCGTGCTCAAGGCTCACATTCTAACCCACATTATCCAGAGGGAGATGTGTTTTAAATGGATTTGGCTATACCCAGCCTGCAGATATGAAAGGCAAACACAATAATCACTATTTTATCATCTTAATGATAGCTATAATGGCACACAGCTATAATCCCAGTCCTTGAATGGTAAAGACAGGGGGATGAGGAGTTCAAAGTCATTTTTGGCTATATGAAGCCAACCTGGGATACATGAGATGCTGTCTTATAAAACAAAAAGCAAAACAAGATAAAACAAACATTTGTGCTAAGTTCCCAGCATCCAGAACCATCAAACCCATTCTACGTACTTAGTACTTGCTAGAAGCATAACGGGACATTTAGGAAACGATTTGATAACTCTATGAATAATTTTACATAACTGAATGGTTCACTCTTAAAACACCCAAATTTAATTTTAAGTACATACATTACTATATGATAATTCAGCTGATAGAACCTTCCAGAATGCCATCTGGGAAGGGCCAATGACAACCTGAAGAAACACAAGTTCTTTTTTGGTAGTTTAAATTTTTCAGTTATATTTTATTACTTATTTTCTTGTGTGTGTGGGGGGCACATGGAGGTCACAAAGGTACCATGGAGTATGGACTTGCAGATTTCCTTTGTTCAGCTGCAGAAACTGAGACACTCAGAAGCTAAGTCATCTGCCCAAGGGTGTTGGCTCCAGAGTCTATAATTTCACCTATATTAGAGACCAAAACATGTCCTCAGCTGAGCTTTCATTCACTGGTGGAGGTTTTTTTTTTAAATCTTGTGACTATCCAGGCAGGAGAGGAGATATTTTAAAGGGAGACACTTGTGCTATCAGACTACTGAAACAATAAACCACAAAGAATTATAATTGTTCCAGGAATCCTATGCTGGGTAAGGGCAATGCTGAAGCGCTCTGGCTGCCTTTGGAGAAGAAACTTGGCGGCCAGGAGACATTCCACAGTTTTCCCCTAACGTCTTAGACCACCTTGGAGGACAGACCAGAGCCAAGACAATGATGGGTAGACTCACACCTTTGCCAGCATTGATCAGTTTTGACCAGAGAGAAGGCCTGACCTCCATCTCCAACTGGATGCGAACGGGTTTGTCCAGTGGTTAGAGCGACTGCTCCTACTGTTGCCCCTCCCTCTAAGCAGCACACCTGTGCCAGCTGCATACCAGGAACAGAGCTCAGGGAACAAGACAAGCACCTCATCCCTTTTTGGCCCTCACACAGAAAACCAACAGCCTCTCTGTCTCCCAGGTTCAGCTTCTCTGGGCACTGCAGAGAAACGCGTTTGCTAGCGACCACTCGGCCTGTTTCCTCTTTTGCATGGCTTTTGTGCACTAAATATTTCACCGAGTCCCTATCTTCAGACACCCTTGGGTTCTGGGCCCAAAGGACAAGCATAGGTAAAAGAGGCACAGGGCATCTAATCTTCCCAGATGAAGAAGGTACCTGAAACACCAATTAGATGACCAAATGAGTCATTGGTGTGTGTGTGTGGGGGGCGGAGACAGGACGTTTCGGGAGCCCAGCATTTTCTGGGGAGAACCCTGATATTAGCATCTCCAAAAACAGCGAGAAAATTCTTAAGATTTTCTCTCCGTCTGGTATACACCATCTACCCAAGAATCTGGGTAGAAAGTGAATTTCATTGGGCTGCTCTGTGATAAGATACCAGTTCCCCTAGCTGGCTCAGAGAACATTGTGACAGGCTAGCAGTGGGGTTGCAGCCTCTCTTCATAGACAACCTCCAAGATCTGGTAAAACACACACAAACCTATGTATTTTGTTTGTTTGTTTGTCTGTTTTGAGACAGGGTTTCTCTGTATAACCTTAGCTGTCCTGGAACTCACTCTGTAGATCAGACTGGCCTCGAACTCACAGAGATCCACCTGCCTCTGCCTCCCTAGTGCTGGGATTAAATGCGTGTACCACCACCACCTAGCACAAACCTGTATGTTGCTACAGTGTTCAGTCATAGATGTTTACAGCCTGAAAAATTAGGCTTCCTCTATTCAAAATTGGCTGTAGCATTTAATAGTCAGAGGTACTGCAAATGCAGTTTTTCCTAAGTGGGTTTAGCTTTATCTCCAGAGAACTTCACCTAGATCAATGGAATGACAGTTTTGGCTTTAGGCTTCAAATTGGTGAAGGAATAAGAGATTCCTTCTGCCCTAAGGACACAAGATTTTCATCCACTCTCTTTTTAGGATGTGTCTGATTTTGAAATTATGGACATTTTCTTCTTAAAGAAAAAAACCTCTAATGCATACTGTTGAGAGGGAATGAAGCAGGGCCATGGAATTCAATGAATAACATTTCCCCAAGACAGTTCTTGCAGAATTTCTTTCTTAAAAACTACACATTTTTAATCCCAGCACTCGGGAGGCAGAGGCAGGCGGATCTCTGTGAGTTCGAGGCCAGGCTGGACCGACAGCCTCCGAAACAATACAGAGAAACCCTGACTCGTAAAACCAAAAATAAATAAATAAATAAATAAATAAATAATAATAAAAATAAAAAACTACGCATTTTCCTATGAACTCTTTCAGTAGTATAAAAATAAAATTGCTCACAAATGTAAACTATTCTGTCTCTGTATGTCAATATTTGATACATATTGAGATCTTGAATAACTGATCTCCCCCGATTTTACTTATTTCTGTTTTCTGTGTTGCTGGTTAAGCCCAGGGTCCTGTGCATTGAAGATGAGCATGCTACCCTTATGCTTTACTCCCTCTTTTCTTATAGGACTCTCACTGCTGTGCCACATGGACTCCTACGACATATAAAGAGGCTCTCCTAAGCCACAGCTCACTCTCTTTGGGATGTCACAGTACATGCTGCCTGGGCTCCTCTTATTCCCAACACTGTACCAGGCTTTCGACATCTTACAAGTCTCAGAAAGTTCCTGTCCAGGTGTAAGAAAATGGACTATTAAGGAAAGAGAGCAACAATCTGAGCAGCTTTCCCACTCTTCTGTGGTGGACCCTCCACAAGGCATGCTGCAACCCCAAGGATGGGCCCTGCAATGTCACATTTTGAACAGCCACACCTATCTAGCAGATGAAAGAGTAGTTTCCTTTCTATGCAAATCCAAGAAATGTCAATACCTCAAAACACTTGTAATGAAATCACTGCTTGAAAAAAATGCATGTTCATATGTAGTAATCTTAGATGAAAGTATTTTAGTAGCTAAGAAAAAAACAGACTCCATAATTATAATAAACTATTATGAGTTTTTGATCTCACTTCCAGTGATTTATTTCTCTGCACCTGAAATTTAGATAAACAACTGTACCATAGATATTCAGGCAATATCCTCTTTGTCTATTGGTTATGATACAAAAAAACCCCTCTTGAGATCTGTTTTGACTTTGAAAGCTTCAATTCAATGATCCAACAAGTGCCTAATAATATGCTTTACTTAATAAGCAAGTATTTCATAAGCTAATAAAATTATTCATGTGTGAAGATACTCTGCACTCTAAAATGTTATTTTGTGCTAAATTAAATTTATTTTGTAAAAAGTGACATTCTCTCTTGATTATAAACCTAATCTATGTTGACACAATAAAATCATTAGAAAAAATACCAGTCAGGTGATAGTGGCACATGCCTTTAATCCCAGCACTCTGGAGGCAGAGGCAGGGACATCTCTGTGAGCCTGAAACCAGCCTGGTCTACAAAATGAGTTCCAGGACAACAAGAACTGTTACACAGAGAAACCAAGTCTCAGAAAACAAACAAAAAAATACTATCCAGAAGATCCCAATTTTTCAAGTCTTACTTCTGTAATCCTTTGAAATTTATTTTTAAGTAAAATACAGCTTTTGCATACTTTGTCATAATTTAGGTAATTATATTTTATTATAGAAATTCCATTTGCCTTGAAAAGGGAAATGGATTCTGTCTGTCATGTTGGTGTCTTTTGGGAATGCAGTGACTACATAATCAACATGCAGATCACTATTCAAGCATGTTCATCTTTTGGGTTTTAAGCAGTGGGCTGCTGAGGGGGCAACAAAGGGAGTGAATGTGTGAATGAATGCAGGTTACAGCTTGGTCCCTTATCAGGCCCCAGGATGGATTGCTGTGCTGTGGGAAGTACTTGTCCTCACCCTTGTTGCAAGGCCCCAGCTTGTGTTCCAAAAAGCTCTGGAAAATACTGGGAGTAACCAGGAGGATTATACAAGAGAACAGATCAACCCAATTCATCAAAACACACACACACACACACACACACACACACACACACACACTCACACACACATAGTCTATGGTGGTGGTCAAAGTGTCTCCCTGCAGTGTTAACAGCATTCATGAAATAAATGCTAGCATATAATTCAAAATAAAGCACCAGGCTGGAATCCTCATTCATTGAAACACAGTCTCAAGAGTTGGATTCCTTCAGTGCTTCTTTTAAATATCTGTTGTTGACTTGGTAAAACATCCCCCTGACTCAAAAGTTTAAAAGATTCAAAAGGTTCAGGGGCAAAAAGTCTCTCTCTCTCCTGTGTGTACCCTAGCTACCAGCTCTCCTCCTTAGAGACAAGCAGTGTCATCAGCCTTTTGGGAATGTTTGCAAAGATTCTGAGAGGTGGCTGGACCTGTGTGTGTGTGTGTGTTTATGCCTGTGTATGTGCCCACGTATCTCTGTATGTCTGTGTGTATATGTGTTTGTGTGTCTGTGTATGTGCCTGTGTGTGTATCTGTGTCTGTCTGTCTGTCTGTCTGTCTGTCTGTCTCTCTCTGTCTCTCTCTGTCTCTCTCTCTGTCTCTCTGTCTCTCTCTCTCTCTGTGTATGTGTGTGTGTGTGTAACAGCTAGGGAACAGAGCTGTCTTCAGTACAATATACCTTGACTCTGTGCAGGTTTCAGGTTCAGGGTTCGATAGGAAGGCTTACTGAATGTGGTAGATAAAGTCTGGAACTGTCTAGAAGAAAGGATTCTGCCATGTGTCTAGGCTGTATTTACAAGAGTGGGTAATGATTCACAGTGTTTACGCCCCACGAGGGGGGCGAGTGTTCAGGATTCTGTGTCTTTTACAGGAGCGCTTTTCTCAGAGAAACACATGGCCGTATTTTCCCATTATTTTGACTAGAAACAGTAGTGTTTATTAAAACTTTTTTCCTCTTAAAAGAAATACTGACACCAACATAAAAATCACAGCATGATTTTTATATCTCCACAGCCAAAAACACTTCCCTGCTGGAATGCAACTCTAATGATGTCATATAAATTAATGGACAAATCACAGTAGACACTTGCTTTGCTGCCAACTCTTAAAGACTACTTGAACAAGGTTTGTTTATTTTGGTGATACGGATATTTTATTTTTCCTTATCTGAAATGATAGTTTAAAGAGACTTAATCAATACATTAAAAAATCTTTTTAAGATCATCTCCTCATCATGCGCTGTTACCACCTCAAAACTTATCTAACCTGCATCTATTAGCATGTATTTAAACAATGACAATATCAACAAATTATTTAATAAAACACAAGTCCAGCCTAAATTTCTTCAGAGGAGTAAATAGCCCATAGACTTTTGGAGGTGAAAAAAAATCCCATCAAATAGAAAACCGCATTACAAGTCTTTAATTCAAGAGAGTCACTAGCAAAGGCAGAGACAGTCAAAGCTCCTTAGAACATAATATGGGACCCAGACCCATGGGTGTACCAGAAGCAAGCTTCACATCTAGAGGGCAATAAATGGCACAGAGACAGCTGAGCACTGGTTTACAAGAGCAAAGTTCATACACAGAAAGAAATGCCCAATGGGTTAAAGTTGTGAGTATAAAAACAGTTGGAAACCATAGTTTTGTATCCTTGACTGCCTTCCATAAAGCACAGAAAAAGAAAAAAAAGAAACTAAAACCAATGAAATAAAAGAGTAGTAATACAGAAAGATTTCAGTGTACAAATATTATACAAAAGATCATGAAAAAAGGTAAAAGGCTAGCAGCAGGTTGGAAAAGATACTGGGGACTAATATCTCAGATTTTACTAATCCATATTGATGGGGACGTCCTTCTGTGTATATGTCAATAAAGTACTGTAGGCCAATAGGGAAGCAAGATAGGTGGGACTAGGAGTCTAGGAGGATTCTGGGAAATGTAGTGAAGAGGGTCATCACATTTGATCTCTTGGGAGCAACAGATGCTTAGGAGCATGTCCTCAAAAAGGTAAGTCCTTATACAATATGTATTAGTCATTATGGGTTAATAATCAAGTCAGAGCTAGCAGATAAGAAACCAAGGAAATGGTCAACAGATTCATAACTAATATAGTGTCTTGTGTGTTATTTGAAAGCAGCAACAGGACCTGGGCAACAGGCAGGAAGACTAAACGTTACACCATATAAAAAAGACAGGCAACCTAAAAGAAAAGTTATGACAGTTTGGAATACAGAAGTCAAACAATTTAGGGAAAAAGGGTCAATAAAGATGAGTGAAGGTGCCCAACCATATGGAAATCTGTGTATAGATTTTTATCCTGTAGACTATGGACCTTGAAGTCACTCATCCACCCAACTGTTGATGAGGGTGACTGAACATGCAGCATACTCACTAACTGTGGGTCAGGAAACTAACTGTTTAAAAGATAACAGACAAATCCTTAAAAAGTTTAGCAGATACATGAATCCAGTGATCTAGGAAATCCAGTCATTTGGGCAACCACAGAAACCCGGCATGTGTGCGCAGACATAAGCATGACACCAAGGACTTAAGCAACCAGCAGTACCTGTTCAGTAGTGGGTAGTACATTGTCTGTGGGACACCACAGTCATGGAGACAAGTGCGGTATATACCACAGGGAATATGTGCTGTATGTGAGTGAGAAGGTGTATGTAAGTAGTCTGTACACACAAGTATACTATATGTGGATGCATTTGTAAATGCACAGGGAAAGAAATGCCTAGAAATACATACCTCAACCCCTAACTAACTCTTCCCCATGAGAATAAAGATGAGGGAAGAAACAGTAAGAGAGGGGATTCAGTTTTATTGACAAACTTTTGCACTAGCTGAATGCTTAATTAAAATGCATCATTTTGTATACACAAGGCATGAAAGGAAATGGCTCTGATATTTCCCTATGGCATATTTTACTGAATTTGCTTAGGGAACACAACAGAAAGGAGGTCTTTTAGCATAAATACTTCTCAGAGAATTAGAACTACAAAATTTATTTAAATTTAACTAATTAAAACTATAAAATTAGAATTACAAAATGCATGGTTTTTTTGCTTATTTTCTGCTGCAATTTATTCTCTCCTCGGGCTGCCAAATGGAGAGAAAGTCATCAGACCTTGTGCTTTAGAGGAACATTTTGAATGACCAGGCAGGAGAAGGGGAGACACTGCGGCTCAGGGGTCCAGACTCAGCTACACAAACATGCACCATTTCCCCAATTTCCTGGAGTCCCCCTCCAGGTCTGTGTCATCATAAATATCCCATCTCCTTTTTATGATCAATGTTCCAGAAGAAGTATAATTTCAGGTGTCACATTTTAACACGAACTTTTCCTGACCCCAGCTGTAGCAGGGAGGGTCCAAGTCCGGCATGTCATGGATCCAAGAGTGGATTACCATTGAAAGGCCCTCAGAGAGAGAACCCTGATACATTTGGGACCTATAGTGGCAAATACAAGCAAGGAGGGACAGATGAAGAGGAAGCATCCTGAGATGAAGGGAGTCCCTTTGCCACACCAGACCTTCCTACATGAGAGCCGCTGTGCTGATAGGGGCCAGCACACACTTCACGCAAAGTACTTGCTATGAAATAATGAAGCTTTACTTGAATTTCCTTTGCCTTGTGACAGGTTCCCCTATGTAAAACAGCATGGAGAGCTCTGGGAACCACTGAATGGCTAAGAGCACAGTATTTGGCTGCTCAACTGAGGCTGTCTCTAGATCGGGCATTGCATCAGTATTTGTGTTCTGAAAGACAGCCTTGTTGTCTTCATGCATTCATCAGCCCTGGAAGTTTCTATCAATTCAGTGTGTATGTGTGTGTTGCTATACGAGCTTGTACATGTGTATGAGAAAGCGTATGCTGAGGTCAGAGGAGACAGGACTACTCATTGAATTAGGAGCTTGAGTAAGTATGTCCCAGCCTTATGTCCCTCCCCAACAGGCTGGCCGCCAGCAAGCCCCATAGAGCCTCCTGTCTCTGCTCCCACATCACCATGGTTACAAGCTGAGGTGGCCATGCCAGACTATTTGCATGGGTGCTGAAGATCCAAACTCAGACCCTCATGTGTGGAAAGGTCCTCTTACCCAAGGAGCCATCACTTCAGAACCTCAGCTTGGTTTCTAAAAATTCAATCTATGTGCAAAATTGTAGGAATATGCCTGCTATATAAAGCAAAACTCATATATGGATGGGATGTAAATAAATAGAATAGCTGTCACATCTGGACATTAGACAACAACTCAGGTTCTCCCCTTAGTTCCTGTTGTTTGTGAAACCAAAGGGTAGTGGGAAGAAAAGCCACATCATCTGAGTTGTTAAAATTTGGACCTTAGGTGCCCGCGTGCTAAAAGTCCTGGTTCTCTGCTTGGCTCTGCTGGGAATGCTGTGTGAGTCTAGTGTGAGACTTTGCAGTCACTGGGGAAATACCTTATCCTCATTCCTGCGCCACAGCAGGAATGAGCAGTGTTCCCATGTGTTGCCACCATGATATGTAGCCTTGTCATAGGTCCCAAGGCAGCAGAGAGAATCAAACAAGCCTGGAATCTTTGTGAGTCTTTCTTTACAGGTTCATTATTCCAGAGATTGTTATGACAGCGGTGTCTTGGGAGTCAATCAGAACGTGACTCCCACTGTAAGATCTAGCTTCTGAAAAGTTCAGTTTCTAACCTAAGTCTTGTCCAGTGAGCAAGAAGTAATGTCCCCACCCTGCCTGTCACCAGCATCTATTCGGAGCCCAGAAATTCTGACATCACTGTAAAAGCAGAGTATGACAATACTTGTTTCGAAATTGAAAAGAGAACCATACTGTAGCCCTTCAGAAGGATTAGCACTTCACTGAAAGAAAAAAAACTTAAGACCTCAATGTAGAATTTTTTCCCCCAGTGAGATTAGTTTAGGTGCTCTTAAAAGACAACGGAGCCAATCAGGAAAGTCTAGACATTGATAATCTGATCCAGCCATGTCTTTACATCTGCTACCAGGATTCTAGTTTACCAAGAAAAAAAAAAAAAGACAAATATGAAGGAAACAGAAACCTTCATCAGATGTTTTTTTTCTGCTAAACCACATCAAGAATTAAATTACTACACAATACACCCAACATGAATTTATTGTGTTAAATATTCTCAGTCTGGGCCGGGCGTTGGTGGCGCACACCTTTAATCCCAGCACTCAGGAGGCAGAAGCAGGTGGATCTCTGTGAGTTTGAGGCCAGACTGGTCTACAAAGTGAGTTCCAGGACAGCCTCCAAAACAATACAGAGAAACCCTGTCTTGAAAAACCAAAAAAAACAAAAACAAAAAACAAAAAAACCTTCTCAATCTGCAAAACTGGATCTTGTCTGCCTACCTTGTAAACTGCCGACTCTCTTCATGGACCTCCATCTCTGTGCTCTTAAACTCGTTTAGCTCTTTTCTTATTGCTGCCTAAACAGGAGAAAATGAGGCAGAATTTAGGTCACACATTTTCCCAATGTATACAGCACTCATGATGCAGATATTATTCTATGACACAATATCTGGGGGGGGAGGAAAGAATTACTTGTTTATCCCAGATTACGATTTAATATATAAAATATGTCACAGTCTGAACACCAGTGATCTAACAATCTGAAATTAGAAAATCTTCAAAACCTGAAAATTTCTGAGTATCAGTGTGAACCACATGTGGAAAATTCCATACCTGACCTCCTGTGAAGGTTGCAAAGTGCAAGTATGATAAAAACGTGTAAAATGACCTCTAGGAGATGTGTGTGCAGTGTGTGTGAACATGAATGAATTCTTTTAAAGCAGGGCTGGGGACTGAGCCCATTCCTCATGCATACTAGGCTAGCACTCTCACACTGAGGCAGATTCCTGGCCCCATGAATGAATTTTTTTATGTGGACACAGTTCTCATGCTTCAACTATCTCATTTCATTACGTCCTTGCAAATACCCCAAATTCTAGAAATACCCCTAACCCATAAACACAAGCAAGCATTTCAGAGGAGGGACAGTCAGGTGGAAGCCAAACTGAAGCTGGGGGGGGGTTCCCTGAGAGTGTCCTTGGTGGGGAGGGTGCCAGTAGGGTCTAGAATGTGTGTCGCAGAGAATGTCCCACCACCCTCCAATGACCACAGCAAATGCAAGGCACGGGGTTTTTCAGAGAATTCGTGTCCTGCCCCTAGGAAAGTTTTCCATTGAAGCCTGCCTGTCGGCTCGCCCACAGCAACATAGCTTTGACTAGCTGCCACAGTGATGCCAAGAAGGCATTTGCTATTTATTTTTTCATGTTGAAAGTTTGGACAAATGGCTGAAAATTCAGCACAGCATTTAAAACCACTCAGAGGAACATCAAATAGGAGGCCTTATTTAAGGAACACATAATCCATGCCATGTACAACAAAATGCTTCTGCATGCAGACTGGAAAGCTGAGACGCCCCTCCAAATGCTAACTTTGGCTGTCTGTTAACAGACAGTGGCGGGATTATGCATGGGTTTAGTTTCAAGTTTTGCCTTATTTTTATTTCCTACAAACGGTATTTCAATCATATAAAAAGTACTAAAAAATCTTTACAAGCTCTATGTAGATTACAGTATTCAGACCAAACACAGAACATTATAAATATATTTTACTCAAAGAATGCTTTCCTTCACAGAAAAGGAAAAGTAGGAATAAAACACCCTTATGACATCTATGCTAAGGGGACTGGCTCCAGATAAACACAGAATGTCAATACGAACCACAGGAAGTGCCTTCCAGAAAGATAGAAGAATCTACTCTGCTGTTGGAAGTCAATGAACTTGAGAAAAAGGGAGAAGATAGGAGAGAGCCCTGAGACCTCTTCATGGCTCTCTCCCATAATTAACCATCACTCTACAGTTCACAGGCTTCCCTTCTAAGCATATTTTAATGTGATAATTAAGCCCTGTTGTCACAGACTGTCTCCTCTCCCCAGATACATTCTTTAGGTCTGGAAGTCTCTTTGGGGGAACCTGGGACGGCAAACAGTAGTCATAATTCTTATTACTAACTTTTGGAAGTTCCAAAGCAAGCAGAGACCTGCTTGTGGGCCCAAGTCCCCCATAGAACAGTCAAGAAGTATGTTTCACAAGATACAACAATGTGGACTTGGTTTTGGTCAATGTAACAACTGGCATTGGATCCAGGAGCTGGGCGGTTGCTGGAAAATGTTCTCCCTTGGAATGAAGTGTTTCAATGTGAACAGAGGCAGAGAATTCCATCTGTGTTCATTTAAACTTTCTTCTCTCCACAAAAGGTTTCAGCAGAGGTAGTGTGAAGCATGTTAGCTAGACTCAGAAGACATGGGAGTTGGTCTTCCCTATGTTCCCCATGTGAGTATGATGCTCCCAGGGGGACTTTCCCTCAGTTTTCAGCTTTCCCACTGCTATGGTCTGGACGATTGTTATCTAAAGGTCCGTGTGGTAAGGCCCGTTGTCCAGAGAGGTATTATTAGAGGTGTTGTGAATGCTTAAGAGGTGGGGGGTCTCATGAGGGACATGTCTTTAGGTCATTTGGGGCATGCTCCTGAGGAGATTATGGGATTATGGTCTACCTTCTCTTTCCTCTTTTGACTCATGATACAAGGCTTGGTTCCCCATGTACTGCCCATTCCAAACGTGTGATATCTCCACCAGACACCCATTACTTAGACCTTACTTAGTGCTTCGTTGTGTAGACCCTTATATCCAGAACTGTGATTTTTCTATGCATAAGTTAATTGTTTTATGTTTTTTTTAATGTAACAGAAAGCTAGCTGATAAACCCACCTAGAAAATAGGGAAGAAAATTGATGATACAATTAAGAATATTAGTTTAAAGTGTAATTTAGAAAATGTGCTGGATACTGTAGAGTTACCAATAAAATACTATGGAGTTTTAAAGTAGTACATTATTTGGGCTTGTAATTAACAATTCTTTCATTTTTTATCATAGAAAATACACTGGAATGCAAGAGGACACTGCTGAAGGAGAGCTGAATATAAATAAGATGATGAACTTACTAGTGATAGAGGCTGGCTACCAGTTGAAGAGTCTGGCAAAATCAGGAAAAACATTCAGAGAGAAGCACTTGGGATACAGAGTTTGTAAATCAAAAAAATTACAAACTGTGCCCAACACCATACAATATTTATATTAATAAAATTTATAACCCTCTAGTTCCCATATCCCTCATGCTCACCGCTTTCCTCAGAAGGGCAGTTAGACACTCATGGGCACATCCTATGCCCTCCTGCAATGCCACTTTGTCACTGTCTCCTTAAGATGTGGTGTCTGTTTCTCTGTTTCTGACTCTGGGTAAACCCTGTCACTACTCCGAACAGGGAAACAAAGTAGATTTGTCACTTTACTACATCAGTCTGAGGTGAGCTTCTTCCTGGCCCAACGGCATTTACTTCTTGGAAGCCAGCTTCCATATAAAACATACTTGACTGCCCAGGGCAAGCTACAGTATGAGAAGCCCCAACACAAAAAGACGTCAGAAGAAGAGATGCAGTCAGAGGATGGAGCAGGAGGGCATACACACATTCATAAAGAAACTACTTTGGAAGTGTGTTCTTAAGGCTTGGCATCTCACCAATGCCTTGTGGGCCTGAAACAAACCACTGGACATTCCAGAATTGTTCCCTCACAAACTTGTAAGCTCTATACATCACTGATTTAAGCCAGCAGCTTTGGGATGACTTGTTACAAGGCAGCTGATAACCTAAACAGTATTCTAAGATAAAACAGAGGCCTAGAGGGGTCTTGTGATCTACTGGATAGCAAACATGATTAAGTGATTATGTTGAAGTCACCAATAAGCCTACAAGTCCCACATACATCCAATAAAACGAGCTTTGGGGCCCCACTAATCCACATAACTCCCTCATATTCATGCGTGTGCCGGTTTGAGTTCAGAAGTGACAAGTCAGTTGTATGCAATGATACGGTAATGTGTAACGCTGCAGGAAGGGCATACTTGTCTGATTATGGGAACGGCATTCACTTTCAAAATCTACTCAATAAGGACCTACTTTTAGTCTCACAGTTACTACTTTAGATAAGAAAGAAGAGTTTTTAGGGCTTCAAAGCAGGAAAAAGGAGACCTTTGATATTGGCCAGGTACACAGAGTCAATATAGACATAGTTTTTGTTCTTCTCTCTTTTTTTTTTCCCAGACGAGACTAGATTTTAGGCCTAACACTCTCTATCTACGTGTAACTGAGGCTGGTTTTGTTGAAAGATAAAAAGATGGGCTGAGACAGTGGGATTGGAGCCACTGGTACTAGGTTGGACCACTTTAGGGAAGCCATTCAGCTGAAATTAATCTCTAAAGAAACCAGAGGCAACAACAACCCCAAATGCCAGGGGTTTGCACTGAGACCACATGTAGAGTGGTGTTTGGTATCATGGGAATTAAACACAGGACGTAAAAATGACTGAAACTAAGTTTAAGTCTGGTTAGTGGTGAGTATCCACATACATTCTCCATCTGATCAGGCCTGGTCAGTTCAGGGACACTTCTTGGCAAGAAGCAACAGGCAATTTGTCGAAAATATGGCTCTTGTGGCTATCTAAAACATTACAGCATGGCTTGTAAGTGAAGAATTAGCTAGAATTTCCACTTGATATCTTTTGTTTATGTTTTTGCTAAAATGCTGGTATCAAAGAGTGGATTGCTCGCTGACTCAATAAGCTCAGTGTCATGGGGAGTGGAGTGTGCACTCCATGAGTCAACTGGCGACATTCTACAGGGAATTAAAACCTCAGTCTTCACAGGGAGCTGGCTAGACAGTGCATTCCTGGAAAGGCAGTATTCGTCTTCATGCCCTTGTACCTAGGATATTGTTCAAGAGTTTCAGTAAGTGAGGCAGATCCCGTATCATCAGAAAACAGTCTGTATTCTGCTTCACTAGAAAAATTTTAAAGGGAATTTTCTCGAAGTTTATATTCACGACTGTTCTCAGCACATCTTTGAGTACCTGACCTGACCTCCCAGGAGTTTACAGTTTCTTCACTCGGTACCCCATGTCCTTCCTAGGGCTGTCCCTAGCCCTGGTGACAAGGCTCTTCTCAGCTCGCACAGTGGTGTCCTTGTTAATACCAAACCTCTTCAGCAGGTCACTAGAGATTTTTAAGCCAAAGTTCTCATCAGTATTTTACATTTCAGTCCACCTGTGTAGCCATGGAGTGAAATCACTTTGGGGTTCTAAGTAATATTTGAAACTAATTTTCTTTAGAAAGGAAAATAAGCTTTCAGCAACTTTGGCTTTCACGATTTTTAAAAAAATTAAAGTGGGGTATAGAGATCAGAGCTTAAAATAAAACCAATTTAAAGCTACATTTATTTATTTTTGCAAATGAGTGCAGGTCTGTGTGTTTGTGTAGCGTGTCACATGTCCTTGTGTTTGTATAGGTTGTCGCATGTGCCCCGGTATGGATGTGGAGCTTAGAGGCAAACTCCCTTCCATCACATGCATCCCAGAGACCAAACTGAGGTTGTCAGGTTTGGTGGTAAATGGTTTCACACAGTGAGTCACCTCGAGGGCCTCATAACCTAACTTTTAAAAATTATTTTTACTTTGTTTTAATTTTCTGGTCATTGGTATTTTGTCTGCATTTATGCCACGTGAGGGTGTCAGTCAGATCCCCTAGATCTGGAGTTACAAACAGGTGTGAGCTGCCATATGGGTGCTGGGAATTGAACCCTGGTCCTCTGGAAGAGCAGCCAGTGCTGAGCCATCTCTCCACTTCCCTCACAAACTAATTCTTAACACAATAGTTAAGTCATAATTACCGAATTCTATATCAATTAACTTAATGAATCAAATACATTATTTAGAATCTGATTAATAGTTGTTATGAAGCGTTTTAAGGTAAAAGTAATAAAAAGTCAATTTTTGCTACAATGGCAACTAGCATGATATTTGCCTTCTTAAACATGTGGGTCATATTTCTTTACACTGTGTGTGTGTGTGTGTGGTGTGCTCGTGCAGTTGCCCCCATGAACACGAGAGTGCGAGCATGTTCGCCTACTGTCTGTTGGCATCCCAGGCACCCTCGGTGCTGGGATTATAGGTATGTAACCTCATGTGGGATTCTAGGATCCAAACTGGTTTATTCTTGCTGAGCAGCACTGCCTGAAGAGCCATCTACCTAGCCCCTGCAGATGCATATTTTAACAATGGTGTGAAATTACTTAATTTTTTTCTCAGTACTAGGTAGAAAATAGCATTTTTAGACATTTATAAAAGTGCCATGCATTGATCTGAATTCCAGTTGTTTATTTTTCTTATTTATGATTCTGAATATTCAGCTGTTTGATAACAAACATACCACCTGCATGTACAAAAACACGCTACACATAAATAGCATTTTCAATTTTTGCATTTTTGTAATTTCAACCTTCTACCTTTAAAAGTGTACATTTTTTCTGTCTAAAACAAATCCTTACTTTTGGAAAACACACTCTTCTCCTAGGGAGCGCAGACACAATAAAAACATAGCCCTAAAAAATTTGTCCTTTAGACCTTAGCACATCTTGGGATATATGCGTGAGATTTCCATGGGAGAAAGTGAACCAACCCCTTAAGTCATCAGGTAGTCTGGTTCTGCCCTGGGGCTCAGAGTGACATGTTCAAGTGACATGTGAGACTCCTATGTCTTCAGGGTACTCCAGAACAGAAACCAGGTTTGCAGAAGAAAACCTGACCAGGCCCAACTCCCCTACATTTAACAAGCCTAAAACAAAAGTCTATCTTTGTCTCAGTTCAAAATGTTGTTAAAAGAAAAACATCTCTGTCTATTGTAGCTGGAGATGGATGAGCTCTGCCTACTACTAACAGGACAAAGTCAAGGAAGGGCTCTTACAGGGGATGGGGAATTGAGTTTGCATATAAGGACAGTCAGTCATGTAGGCTGTCACTGCTGCACCGTGGAGAAGGATTTTACTGTTTATCTGGCCTTTCTAAAGGTTGGCATTTGAATAATCAGGTGGCTGGTAATGGATGTGGCAAATCACACGCTTCTAAGATGGCTAAAATAACACCTTCAGTCTACAGTGTGATTTCACCACTCTCTTAAGAAGAGCTACCTATTCTCTTCCCCTTGGTTCTGAGCTGGCCTTATGACTTCCTGGAACTAACAGAATGAAGCAGACATACATTTTGAGTGACTTCTGCAGCCAGACTTTCTTTTTGGTCAACAGCTCACAAATGACAACGTGGAGACTTCGTATTGACTATGAAAGCTCGGCCTATAGCTTAGGCTTGCTCCTAACTAGCTCCTATGACTTAAATCAGCCCATTTCTGTCAATCTACCTCCTGCACGCCGCCGCCGCACGGCCTCTCTTCCATCTTGCACCTCCTGCTTCTTCTCTCTGACTCCTGGCTTCTCTCATGCCACTAGATTCCTTTTCCTTTCTCTCACCAGAATCCTCCCCTATATCTCCTGCCTAGCTGTTGACCATCCAACGTTTTATTACACCAACCACGGCAAATACGTCTTCACACAGTGTACAAATATCCCATAACAGACTTCTAAAGATGATTGGAAAAGGCCATGCAGCTTTTATTGGGCTCTCTGGGGACAGACACCTGCTGTGAAGGAAGCTGGCTTAGGGAAGAGGTCTGATGACTCACACTGAGGAGGCCATGCGTAGGAAGGTCTGTGAACAGCCCCGCTGAGCGCCACCTCAGAGCCATGGCAACCAAGGTACAAGACATGTTGGAGAGCCAATCCTGCACCTCTCAGAGGAGCCCAGTCACAGAGCAGTGACACTTGGTTACCATGGAAACCAGAATTGCCCAAATGATGCTTGAACATATTCCAACCTATGAAATCCATAAGATAGAATGAAGCTCTCTGTTCTTCATCCCAAAGCTTAGGGTAGTTTACTGCATGGGGAGAGTGGCGGCAGCCGTGTTAACCAGACGTCACTGAATGAGGGGAAAGTGATGAAAACCCACAGCTGAAAGGAGAATACCTGGAGTAAATTTAGTTCTTGCAACAGATGCACTCAGTGACTTGATTAGCGTATCCATTGAAAAAAATAAGATGATAAACACAGCATTCAAAATGAACTTAAATGTATTGAATGATTGGCAAGAGAGCAGAAACTTCTTCTTTTGGGGGGCACAAATAGAGAGGGAGCCCAGAAAAGGAAAGTAAATAGTGAAAATGTCTTTGACTTGAGCACACTGGCATTAAGTCTGGTGAATCTGAGCAGTCATTTCCAAAAGTAGGTGACATATGGAAGATGGGGGAGGCAATGTGGAATATCCCAGTGTAAGGCTGTGTTGCACTGCTGTACCCCAGAGGGCGGCAAAGGGAACTTGGAGGTGGAGTCAGTGTGGGGTAGGCGGGAAAGCAGGCTGAGGAGTTGGACCTGTAAGCCTGGTGTCCACCTGGCTTATAGTCTGAATCCACAGTACTAAGGTAATCTGAAGTAACTCATTTTACTAATCCTGTTTAAAATGGCATTAAATAAAAGGTACTTTAGAGAAAAAAGTCAGTTTTTAAATTTAACTGTATTTTATACGCTTTGGTGTGGAGGTGTCAAATCCCCTGGAACTGGAGTTACAGACAGTTGTGAGCTGCCATGTGGGTGCTGGGAATTGAACCTGGGTCCTCTGGAAGAGCAGCCAATGCTCTTAACCACTAAACCATCTCTCCAGCCCCCCAAAAGTTATTTATTAAGATAGAACTTTATTGAGGAATATCAGCCTACACAGGATAGGGATGTCATATGATCTTTATTTAGGGAGAAGTCACTTACATGAGAAGCTGAGAACCCAAGGTCAGCGCTCATTGCTCCCCGAGACCCAGCAGGACCCCCAAGAGAGAGCACATTTCTTTCCCCTCAGCTCTTTATTCCCCCCCCCCCCCGTACCTTCTACATACCTGTGACCACACCCAAATGGGTGTGGTCAGCGCTACAGGTACATAAGATCTCTCCCTACAGAGCTTCAAAACAAAGTTTTTATAACAAAAATGTAGTTAGTTCTACATATCTAATGACATCTCATATATGAGGGGAAGGCTTTTAAAACCTTTTTATTTACTCTGGGTATATGACTATAGGGTTGGAGCTCAGGCCATGAGGCTAGCAAGGCAAGGGCTTTTACCTGCTCAGCCTTCCTTCTGCCCCAGGAAAAATAATCATAACCCTGAAAGGTGTGGTGATAATTTGTTTATGATCTAACAAATAAAGCCTGCCTAAAAATCAGAGTGCAGAGCTACACTAGTTAACCATAGAGGTCAGGTAGTGGTGGCACACACTTTAACACCAGCACTGAGGAGACAGAGGCAGATGGATCTGATCTCTGTGAGTTCAAGGCCAACTTGGGCTTCATGAAATTGATCCATTAAAAAGTCAGTTACAGGTATGGTATGTAATTATTCAACGCCAAATTTTGCTGAGAGTAAAAAAATTAGGAACTCACTGCTAGTGACACTGGTAAACTGGTGACATGAAAAACTTAAAAACAATGGTTGGTATTAATCTTGGGCTATGGTCTCTTTCTTGGAAACGATTTAAGGGAAGACTTATTTTAGCTCACAGTTTCAGAACTGTAAGCACATCAGGGGATGGGGTAGTGGAGTAAAGTTCCCATTTCAGTGACCTGACATTAGTGAAGCAGATGTCAGACAAGGCTGCCAACAGAAGCAACTCCCAAGGACATTCTGACATCATCCTCTTGCCTCCAACTAAGCCTTACCTATCACCTTTCACCAGTGCCAGATAACATTAGAGTCTGTCAAGGGATTAATTCATTTTTAGACCTCAGGCAATGCCTGAAAACACACACCTGCATGCATGCTTTATAATCTCCTAGGTATTTTGCAACCCAGTCAAGCTGACAACCAAGACTATCACAACGGGGAACCCACCTCAGCTAACCTTGAATGAGAACAGGTTACACCACAACTAAGGACTAGCTTTTTTGAGACCCAGTTGAAAAAACTGTGTTGCTATGACTGCATATGACTACTTACAAGTGTTTAAACTTTCAGAGGGAGAAAGGGGCTAGGATGGGTGAGCAGAGGCTGAGGACGAAGATTCTGGAAGCACAAAAGGTCATTGAGATACCTTGTCTGCAGGTGTCAACCTGGCCCAGGGCTTGTCAGCTCGGCGGTCATAGTCGGGAGAATCCGTGACTTCTACATACTCATTGAACCGCAGGATTCTTCGGGCTTGTAGCTCTGCCACAGTAGGTCTTAGGCTGAGCTACAAGAGGGTAGCAGGGAAAGGCAGAGATCAGTTACACGTTTGCAGCCTCTAGGTGACTAGTTTTCTGTCTGGAACACTTCAAAGTTAAGGTCACTTTCAGGTATTAAAAGAAAAGCAAAGGCATCTTGGGAGTTTGTAATGAGGCCTAGAAAGCAGCATGCCCTCATTTCCACACTAGAAAATCATCACCACTAGCTAGGTCAGCCTTTGGCAACCGTCTGCAGTGTGCGATCCCCCCACAACATGCCTGGATCTAAGATGACGGCTTGCCTGTCCTCTCTGACGCAGGAACACACAGTGAGAGGCCCACCCGTAAGTACTACAGCTTGAGGATGGGTATGGTGGTAGCTGATGGACTAAGACAGAGGCTATGAAATTCCTAGAAAATGCAACGAGTCTCCACTCCTGGCACATGTGAAAATGCAGTGTTCTCTGCAGCAGTGGCTCAGAGAAAGTGTGTAGCTACAGCATGGCCTTCCTGGGGAGGAGGACACAGGTCCTGCATTGCCCGCCCTCAGCCAGAAGAGCTGACAGGCAGGTGAAAGATGCTTCCTGGATAACAGTTCTTCTTGCCATTTTTCTGACACGTCTGCTGTTGGGGATCCCTTCTTCAGTTCTTTGTCCCATCCAAATGTATCATTCTATTTAACCTGGCCAGCCCTGGGGATGTCTTTGCTTTACTCTCTTGATCCTTTCACAAGCACCAAGAATAAGACTGGAATAATCCTACACTTGAAAGACACCCAGATCTAATTGGAATGCTTTTACTGTGAGCTCTCCAGCCATCCCTCAACAATGTGAGTCAGGTGACACACTTGACTATGGTGTCACATTTTAGTCACCCTGCTTTCTCCCGGGGATAGAAGGTATATCTGAGAAACCACTAGAAGGATTTATAATAAAATATAACTTCTGATCGTCCTTAATTTTTCCAAAGGCTATTATTAATTTTAGCACAGGAGAAAAAAATCATGGCCCTGGAATCAGGTTTGTATTTTTGTAAATAAGTGGAAATGATTGCTTGAGTTCCAGAGATAAGCCATTTGTCAATTTTGGGAACACTGTGGTCAAATCCACTCAATAAATTACTCACCCAGGCCTCCTACAGAACAGTGACAAATAGTCACAAAATACTTATTTAGTATTTACAGGACTAAATGGAAAGTGTGAGCATTTTAAAATCTAATTAAAGACATAAAAATATATTAAAATGCTAACGTTGGCTCTCTAAATGGAAGATTTGTGCATGACATTTTCTTTTCCTGTTCTTTTTGTATTTAATTTTTTTCACTTAAAATACGCATTTTCATAATCAGTAAACGCAATGTACAAACTGTTAGTTTTTCAAAATGAACATAGCACGCAAATGGAAAATAGTTGATTTGCATGCATTGTTGATTCGAATGCCTTGGGCCATATGGTGGCCAATTAGAAATACTGATCCCTAAGCACCCCAGTCACAAGGTAAGTGCGGGTTTGTCTCTAACAAACATCAGCTGCATCCCAGAACACACATGCTCATTAGCAGTCATAAGGTTATCACCTTCCGGCTGAGTCTCCGCTTGAGCTCCATCTTTGCTTCTTGCTCCTCCTCTTCATTCTTTTCTGTTTATTAGAGGAGGCATAAGTTCGAGGTTATTAGAGATGATCGTATAATCAGAAAAGTCTATCAGAAGCAATCACCCAGCTCTGCCATCAGGTGTTAAGTATGCCATCACCTTAGAAATGTACCAAAGGATTCTGCAGAAAGAGCAGTCACATGCATGTAATCTATGTGCCTATGTGCAATGACGTCTTTCTCCCCTATGGAACTGGCTGCCTTTCTTCACTGATTTTAAACCTTGTGGCCTCCAGGTTTCTTGTTCTATGTCCATACTATTGCTGACCACCTCATGGTCTTGGAAACACAATCCACCAGAATTCAGATAAAAATCTACTTCTGGACCTGATTTTCATGTGAAAAGTCCGAGGCACATTAAAAGAACAAATTAGAACCATCCCATGCACGTCCAAGCTGCTGACTTCCATTCAAACCCAACCAAAATATTTGACTTGTCTTCCTATGTTTCCATAGAAGCAAAGTGTAAGCATTCCTTAGGACTTGGCTTTCAAACCAGCGCTCTGAATGGGGTCATGTTGTACTGTGGGTGGAAATTATTTATTTTCTTGTGACTTTAACTTTCCAAAGCCGTCTTTTCCTCTGGTGCTTCATCAACTAGTGCAATTTCACTCAGTCCAATAGATGGGATTGAAAGAAAAAGTTCACATTTTTAAAGAAATAGCCCCTGAGATTTATGGGATGCATATTTGAAAAGTTTCTTTCTGTTGCTACTTGTATCTCATCTGCGTTAAGTAAGGCACTGATTCTACTTCATAGCAAAATACGTACAACACTCATATTCTAAGGATTCTAGTGAAGAAAGACTGTATTATAGAAGGGATCAACCGAACCTCCAGAAAAATTCTCTTCTGTGAAAAGGTTTTATTTTTTAACCTCTCTCTCTCTCTCTCTCCCTCTCTCTCTCTCTGTGTGTGTAGTATAGGTCAGAGAACCTTGAGTGTCATCATCTGGTGCTACCCACCTTGGCTTTTAAGACAGTGTTTCTCACTGAGACTCAAGGCTTACTGATTACACTGTGGTGTCTAGCCAGAGAGCCCCAGGAATTCTCCTGTCTCTGCCACACCAGTATTGAGATGGCAAGTGTACCCCACCACACCCAGCTTTTTAAGTGGGTGCTGAGGATAGAACTTAGGTCCTCACGCGTACATGCCAAGCACTGTACAGGCTAAGCAATTCCCCTAGCCCTCAAATACACTTATTGAAAAAAATTCAAATGGACTTTTCCCTACTGAGGTTGCTGGCTTCAAGAGGAAAAAGTTAGTCTTGAATATGCACAGCACCTACAGGTTTTTGCTCATTAACCAGACTATATTCAATCATATATGTTTTTATTCCTTCTCTGGACATAATGAAGTTTCTGTTTTCTTCTGAAATACATCTCTTAATTTACATGGGAAAAGATGATCCATGAGCTATCTACAGTGACATAAAATGATATCATTCTCAGACTAGAGATACTTCAAATTCCTGCATCAAATGTATTTGGTTATAACTCGGATTTCTAATTATGAATGAACTGTATGCATGGCTGATTGCTTCACAACAACATGTCTTTCTGTTCCCTTAAAGTGTACGCAAAGGGTCAATTACTTAATGTGAATTGAATGAAGCTTGTGAATTGCCTATTATAATATTACACAAATTCCTAACTTGTTAATGTAATTAAATCAGAGCTTTACACGGCAAGACCTGTGATGATATAGTTATTTAAGAGAAATAAGATAATCGTTAAATATAATTTTAGTCACTTCTTCCTGTATGCCTATCATGCTTCATTTCTTTTTTCTTTCTTTTTAAAAAGCTACTTTAAAAATCAGATCTATTAATTTTATTTTATGATTGTCTTGCCTACATTTATGTTTGCACACCATGTGCGGGCTTGGTGTCACAAAGGTCAAAGAGGGCATTGGATGTTGGAAGTGAAGTTGCAGATGACTGTGAACAGCCTTGTGAATGATGGGAATTGAACCCAGGTCTTCTGCAAGAGCAGCTACTGCTTTCAGCTGCTAAGCCACCCCTCCAGCCCTGCAACCCGCATGTTTCATTACTCAAAGGCATTTTCAAAGACAAACAAAAAAATCCTAAGGGGTTTCACTACTTATGTAAAATGTCAATTCTTTAGAGGGGAATATTAGTTTTACCCTATTAAGGATGTTATACAACAAAGTGACAGCCAGTGTCGTTTAAGAGAGGAAGAGTCGATAAGGGAGCTTAAGTAAACAGGGTTTTACCATCTGGGAATTCTTCCCTGACACTAGGAACTGGCTTTTAACATTTCCCATGTTTGAAGTGATACTTCTAAAGTGGGTGAGGGATAGGAGGGGGCGCTGGCATGGGGCAGTCTCCGAGTCTTAACGGGGACCAGGGGAAATCTTGAAATTGGTACTTAAATAATCACTGAGATGTTCATTTAGAGCACATTTCCTTCACGTTTTGATGGATTAGAGGGCTGACTGTACAATATGATGTAAACTGTTTGTGGCATTGGGATGGATTGAAGGGTTTTCATGAAGGAAGTTAACAGAACTCTTGCATCAGAGGAGAATGGTGCCACTTCAGACAGCCACAGGGAAGTGTCTGAATAAACATTCCATCAGTACCTCTGCTCTCAAGGCAGTGGGCACTGCAGAAACCTGCCTGCCTAGCCAGTGTGGCCCCAGCATTGTGTGAATGTGCCCAGAGAAGAAGGAAAAAAGAGTGAACCCAGCAAGCAGAGTAGAAGTGCCCTGTGGAGCCACTGATTTGCATGACATGACCTGGGCTCCCTCCCATGGGTTCTCTGTGGTTTTGTTTATCTTTCTGCTGCTTTCCACGTTTCCATGTGGGCGGGTTTCTATTTTATTTTGTAAACACTTATTTATTTATTGTGTATGTGTTTGTGTGTGTGTGTTCACAAGCACACTGCCACAGCACACATGTGGAGACCAGAGGAAAACTTGTAGGAATAGACTCGTGTACTTCCTGGGGATTGTACTCAAGTTTTCAGGTTTGGTGCCACTGTCTTAATCTGCTGACCCACCTCACTGCCCCCACGTAGGTATCTCCCACAAATGAAACACACTTATAAACTTTTGAAATATATGTATGTTAAAAACGTAAGTCAGTGGGTGGGTGGTATCTGATGAAGGTGTCAGCTGTAGTATATAAATGGCAGACACATGGTTAGTTGCTCTCTGTAAATTTCCTTCAATTTTTTTTGTAGACGTAAAGAATTTCACAGTTAATTGTTGAAGAAAAAAGATTCAGAACTCAGTGACCCGGATCATTTTTTTCTCTATGGAAAAACAGCTGGAATGACCCTCACAGCTGCACATGAGAGCAATGCATCCTTTCTCAGTCCTGTATGGAAAAGATGTCCCATAGATCACTTTTCCTGACCAGCCAGAGGCAGGAAAGATGCTTATGTATGTTCTCAATTTTAAGGGACTGGTTTGAAAATAAATAATCGAACATAAATGTAGTTTACAGATACAATGTAAACATATATACTATATAGTTTGTATATTATACAATATAAATGTAGTTAAAGAAAACCACTCTTACCAACACAGGAAAGAAACCAAGTGTGGAGTATAAGGGACATGATGCTAAGACATAAGAGTTTGTCCCTTGTCCTTACAGAACAGCTATTGGCATTTACTGCCATCTTAGCCACAGTGACTAAAGTGGTGGTGGGTTTTGATTAAAGAACTGTTGACTATTTTGTGCTCTAAATCAGTCTCCTAGCCCCCGAGAGATGGTCTACATGACCTTTAAAATCATACCATATCACAGACACTTTTCTGGTGTTTTCGTTTAGACACTGTTGTTGCTTTTGAACAAATCTTGAGATGAACTATACAAGCAGAAGGAGGGAAGTACAGAGGGGTGCAGAAGCCAGGGGGCTGAATGAAGTGTTTGTGGGCTAAGCTCCTGTGCTATTCAGTGGAAAGAGCCCCCCCCCCATCCCAGCTCTGCCTGCTTCCCTTGGCCCACATCAGGGGGATCAAGAGCCAGCTATCAGCCTCTCCAGACTGGAAACGGGGCCTCCAGTTTCCAGAATCAACACGAACTTAGAAGGAAGTAAAACAGGCCTGAACTCAACTCTGAAGTTGACTTTGGTGCTACACTCTTTCCCGAACCTCCAGGAAAACAGAGGCTACAGAAGCCAACACAGCACTTAAGATCAACATGCAATAAATTTTCAGATCCATGAAAGAGCTCCTCAAATAACTAAACTCCAGTGTGGCTTGGCACATTAGTCCCAAAGGACAGGATTACCCAGAACTTGCACGGCCTTCTTTTCGAAGTATTTCATCAGGCATCCAATAAGACATACCCTCTGTACTGTACTCAGGCGCCCACAGTCTACCTTTGAGCTTAAACTTTAGCTCAGCCAATATGTCCCAGGAACTCCATCATGGAAAACACCTTTACACCTTAGGGTTTTGTTTTCAAGTCAACATTAGATGTTGCTTAGGTAAAATAAATAAAAAAATTAAAAAGAAAATAACTGCCCCCTTCTTTCACAGCTACAACATTTTTTTTTGTCTTTCCAGATGGCATTTCTGCATATTAGCAGGCATTTTGGTGGGTTCTAATTCAACTTTTATTCACAATAACCAGAAAAAGCACAGTAGGGGTGAGGAGGAGATGCTGCAGACTCTGTGGTTGGTTCTCCTTGCACTGGTAAGTGTTCATTGTTGGGTTGTTTCAGTTACGGCAAAAGTCCTATAAACATACTACGAAAATCTTTCTTTCCTTTACAAAAGAAAATAACTCATTAAAGCATGGGGCTACCCAGCAGGCTGACTGTACTCTGCCAGCTTGGTTGAAAAGGATATCCCAATGCCAATGGCTTACTGCTCTTACAGTCTGTCTGGAGTTCTGACCGCTCCTGTCTTTTGATATTTCATGAACTAAAAAGCTTCTGTAGAACTAGGTTAATATCTAGAACTATAGCCGGGCTCTGCTTTTGAACCACTGAAGCTAGTAGCCATTTTGCGAGCACAGCAGAACAGACTGTGTTTTTAGTGGGATCTCTCATACTTTGACGCCAGAAATAAGAATGGAAAAATAAAGTGGGAAAGTGAATGGAGGGCTCTTTAGGTTTCAAGGAACCACAAAGAATTCAAGAAAGAAGAAGAGTGATCACAACAAAGGAAAATGAAATGCCTTGAAAAATCCCTCTTACCATAATTTTAAATTGGAACTTTTGTTCAACCTAGCAACAAACTGTTTTATTCATAACAATATAGGAATGTTTGATTGATTTCCTTGTGGATTCTTTCTTTGGCAGTTATTTGAAAGTAGACTACAGCATTGGCTTTAATATTTGGGCAAAAGAACACATGGGATAAATTTCATTTTTCCCCAAAATAATTGCTATGACCAAGACTCCACTTTAGGGGATATCAGGCTTAAAGCCATAAAATAAAATATGAAAACCAAGAAATTATTTTTTAAGTATATAAACATCTACTAATGCATATGACATCCATGGGACACTCTGGTCAGTGGTGAATCAGGTTTCCATCCTGATGGATGAATTGTCTCTGTGGCACCTTGCTATTGATCACCGGAGGGATCACATACTCACGTTTTAAGATGTTTCTTTGCTCTAATTCTTCAGTTGTTGGCCTCTGGCTGAGTCTCCTATGATGACAAGATGATATACTACAAGTTACAAAACGAATACACCGTGAGTTACAAATGAGGTCCATTTGGTGGAAAATACAAATGAATCAATAAAGCTAGACTTTGTCACATCTTAAGAAATAAAAATTAAACGTTAAGCCTATAAAATAAGCATCTCCCTCCTGTTTGTAGACTACTGAGTGTGGCTTAGACTTCCACCTGTCTCCTCTCCCCCACTCACCCTTGTAAGACAGGCATCTGACTTTTGGCTGGGCAAATGACTACAGATCATAGCTTCCCTAGCTAGGACTGACTTCTTGCATCAGAACATGAACATTTGTAAGTTGTTTTTGCTCCTCAACACAAATGAGTGTGTGGTCCCTGTTTTCCCTTTCCTTCTTGCACAGGCTAGCCTCGAACATGGTGTTATGAGCCACCTTTGATGGTGCAGATAAGATTCCCCAGGGCCGTAAGAAATGTACAAAGCAGAAGGACTCTGGGTGTTAGGTCTATGAGGAGAAGAGGAGGAGAAACTTTCCATCATGCTGGGTGGCCCACTTTCCTCTAGACAGCCTGGTAAGAGAAACCAACACACATTGCTTGAACCCCTGTATTCCTGACATGTTACAGAAGCTTAGCTGATAGCTTAATTAATGTCCAGTGCACTGGGGCCTCAAATCGGCTCCTGTTGCAAAGTTCATTCCAATGTCTGAGTTGCTCAATCTATGCTGCTCAGGGTTTGAAGGGAAATCCTGCATCAGGCACTGCGAGCAAATATATTCCATACATGCTATCTTAAACTATGTGGGCCTCTTCTCCCCTGCTGTTGAGATACGCCAGGCTCATCCAGGATTAGTAGTTAACTGCTTTACAAGAGAGCAGGAACTCTTAGGAACTCCTTATAACTTTGTTCTTGATCTTGTTTACATAATCAATTTGTTGCTAACATGATCAATATGTTGTTAACTGCAGTGAAAGATTTCCTCAGGATGTAGGTTGAGTTTGTGTTACTTAAGATGAATATACATATATACTAGACACAAACAATTCTAAATGTTAGGATCACAACAAACTAGTTATCCCTCAAATTTTCATTGAAGTTAGTTGCTGGGATTACTTTGAAGTTAAGATGAGTGAATGAGTCCACAAAAGGCTCCCAGGAGCAATGGTATCTCTGCAGTTGGATTCTGTGCCATGACTATACTGTGTGCTGTGTGTGTGAGCGTGTGTGCACACACTGCTGGCGTGCTAGAGCCTGTTACAGCCAAGTGTGCTCACTCTCCCTAACTGAAGGGATGTCCTTCCTCTGGAAGTCTTTCTCTTCCTTTCCTACCTTTTAAAACCCTGCAGTTTAAAATGGGGCCTTGAAGGCTGTCTGGCATTAAGAGTGGAAGCCTCCAGGTTCTTTATCCCCACAGTAGAGTATATAGAAGACTGAACAGCTCTTGCCCTTGGCCGTATTAGAACAGAGAACTATGAGACTCACCATGGCTACCTTTTATTCCTGCTTTCAAAGTTCTGGTCTTGTGCTAGATGCTTAACCGGTCAGGGATCCTCAAAACAATTCAGCAAGGTAAGGGCCAGCTCCCACCTTGCAGATGAGGAAAGGGAGATTAACTGACTTGCTTAAACTCAAACATGAGCCAATGTTGCGGTCAGGATCTGCTCCTATCTCATTTGACTTAAACCGTGTGATCTAAGCTTGAATTGTGGGTAAAACCTTGAGCAAGAGGCATAAAAGATGTGCTGTGTTCACCAAAAACAACTCCTTAACACTTACATATTATTAAGAGCAAACCTTACTATATTAAAATATTTAAAGCTATAGATCATGTGTGTACTTACAAAGATATTAAATATCTGATGGGTGGCATTGGAATACTAGTTCATTAAAGATACAGGGGTATCTCAGATGGATGGTTAGACCTGGAAGTCTCCACCCATTCAAATCTATGTCCATTCTTCCGGTGGAAGCCCGGGCATCATCCCCAAAGAATCTCAGATGAAACTGATAGAAGACTGATGGTTAGTGACAGGATTCTACACTGCTAGGTTTTTTTTTTAACATTTCTTTATCAGTGCCCTGGTTTTGTCTACTTGGTTTGTTTTAATTTGTCATTGCTATAAATAGTTTTATAATATATATCTTTATAACAAGTCCTTCAGATAAATCATTGGAGATCCCTTTCCTTCATACATATGTTCCCAAAGATGGAATTATTATGCAAAGAGATAGCTTTATAGCTATTTTATCACAGTGTCAAACTGCTTCAAAAATATTGATCAAGAACAATGTAAACATGTGTTCAATTTTAATTGTGCTTTACTAGTTTAATGAGTGTGTGCAATTTAAGTTAAAAGTAAACATTTCATTTTACTGTGTACTTGCTGTGGTTCAAGTAGTAAGAGTTTTAAATATAAGAACTGTTTTATGAGTGGCATCAAGCAATGGCTGTCTTCTACCTTGTTTTAGATATATTTTTGCCAGTAGGGTTTTTTTTGGGGGTTCTAAATAAGGCCACATCCCATTCTTTCCTTCCTTCCTTCCTTCCTTCCTTTCTTCCTTCCTTCCTTCCTTCTTTCTTTCTTTCTTTCTTTCTTTCTTTCTTTCTTTCTTTCTTTCTTTCTTTCTTTCTTTTTCTCTTTCTTTCACTAGTTCCTTCATTTGCAGTGCTCAAGATCAAACCTAGAATGTTCTGTCACTGGGCTCCATCCTAGCCCAGACACTCTGACAATAACAAGTCCTTCGTCACTACAGAGTTTATCACACATACCCTCAAACACCTTTGAAACATGCCAGCAAGGGTCTCTTGTTCCATCTCAGTGGATAAATCGCATCTTTCTTTAGCTCACATTGGAAGACATGGCATCTGTCTGTTTCTTTTCATAAAAGTGAAATGCCCCCAGTGCTCTGATTCTAGAAAATGTGCCTACTTTCCTTCAAGCTTCTCTACAGAGGCACATTTGACCAACGGTCTGATGAGTTTTTCACTGATACAAATGTTTACTCTCTCCCCTTTCTAAATGCATTGTATTCATAGTGGTTGTCTGGACAGGGAGTGTTTGGAGCCTCAACTGTTAAACAACTGGCTGCTTAGAGAGGCTGTTGAAAATGCTGTGCCTGCCGTCTCCCACATGCCATGTTCTCCTGCTCTGTGCCAATGTCTGTATTACTATGACACTAGTATCATGATGCTGATATTTATTGATTAACCTTGGATTGTTTTTGAACTTGCAGAAGTTACCACCATAGTAGTTTTGTTTTTCTCAGAGTTTTCTAGGAATATAACTGGGAATAATAGCAGTATTTTGTTCCCATAATTTATAGCTTTTTTCCATTACAATAACTGTGATTAGACATTTAGTATGAAAAGAGTAGGGAAACTTTGTTCATTTGAAAAATGATTTTGGGTTTTCTCTAGGTACTAATGTATTTAGCATAATTTGTAAAACCTTTAATTCCAGCTTGTCTCAGGCTTTTGTAAGATAATACAATTTCTACCTGGGTGCTGAGGATGGAGCCTGGGTTCTCATGCTTGTACAACAAACGCTTTACCAAGTGAGCGATTACCCTGGCATAGTGTTCATGTTTTAAACATCCTTTACTATGATAAACTATACTAATATTCTTTGCATTTAAGGAGTTTACCCTATTTTTCTATCATTTTATATGCATTATTTTACAACAAAACACAAACAAAAGCAATAAAATAATAAAACACATTTGTCACACGTTCTCATGTACGTGGTGGAGAGGAGATGGTATAAAAGCAGTCCATCATAGATGAACAGTGATCCTAACCTGCTTCTGCTATAAAAGAATTGTGCAGTTTTCAGAAAGTCCCTTAAATCTCCCAAGGCCTCAGAGACGTCCCTGCTCCTACTTGTTAAGAAGGCAAACTTGACATGAAGTTGCTTTAACTTCTGCTAGCTCTTTTTTGAGGCAAAAATGATCCAGGCTTAGGGCAGAGGAGAAAACATTCCAGTGAGAAGGAGACCCTTGGCAAACTGCTCAGGTCTTCTTTTGGAATCCTAGACAGGGTTGCAAGAACTGAGGATACCACACCCCCAGGCCTTCCCCTGGACTCCTTAGGGAGGTGAGCCTTCCCTTCAGATAGGAGCCACAGTTGGTGTCCCTGAAGGTCTCCCCTTTTAGTGGGCCTTGGAGAGTCTCTCCCTGTGGACAGCAAACAGTCCCTGACATCCCTGCCGGGGACCCCAGTGCAGCAATCATTGAAGGTTCCCACTTCCAAGCAAGGGCAGGAAATTCCTCCATGTTCACAGCCTGGTCTGGTTCCCTTCTCCCACTGATATACCTTGGTGGGTATGCAGAGTGTGACAAACCAGCAGCAAACAGGGACACTTGAATTGCTTAAACTGGTATCAAAACCAATGGCAAAAACAGGAGGTCTATAGTACACAAGGGAGTGAGGAGTGGTGCCCAATGGTCCCCACTCATTCCAAGCTAAAGGCCTGCGTTTGGACAGAGGGCTATGCTTATCTGAGCAGGACAAAGCTAGGTTAGTGATGCTTGGTATTTCTCCAGTCTCACAGCCCACATGATGGAACCTAATCGTTTTCACTTCAGTCTCAATAAGTTTTCAGATTAGAACAGAGGCCGGTCAAGTTGTGGACTGAAGGCCAGATGCCCCATGCCACCCTTCTTGGTGAATGCATTTTATTGACACGCTCACTTGCTCATTTGTTTATATGTTATATGTTATTTACATCTTTTATGTAGGGCAGGGTTGAGTAACCGCAACAGAGACCAGCCAGCCATCAAAGTCTGAGAATTCATAACTGATTTTTTTCAAAGCCACTGGCTAACTGACCAAAAGCGAGAATAGTTTGACCATGTTTACAAGATTGGATGGACCAGGAGCATCCGAACCTGGTGAATTCACCAAGACTGCGGGCAGGCAGGAGACGTGGGGAAGACTACCCAAACATCACTGCTGCATCTACACACAGTACGTACCTGACCAGCTTGGTCCCGATCTGTTGTCTTATTTCCTGCCTTTCTTCTTCAGATGTTCGCTGCAGGATGTTTTTATCCTCCAGTTCTTTCTTGGACGGTCTGTTGCCAAGTTTGATGGCAAGAGTATCCCTTCGTCGTATCTTACTTGCCAAAGCACCTGAGGATTGAAAAGGGGCAGAAATTCAGGTACATCATCTTTTACCCTAGCAGGGCTCTGGTTACACGTGGCTGGACTTTACCAGGATATGAGCCAAATTCTTTACTTGCGTGCAAGAGGGGAAACTTAATCAGTTCAAAGGGGGTGGGTGGGGTGGGGATTTGAGTTGGAGATAACTCATCTTGAAAAAGAACTGAAGGATTTTTTAATGTTAAAAAAAAAGCCCGAGATGCCATGAACAAGCTTGGAAGCATCACCTCATCATCTGGATGGAGATAGTTGAGGTTTATTCTGCTGATTTAGTGGATCATGGAAATCAGTGATTGCACAATGCTTTTGCTTTTCTTTTCAAGTCAAAAGCTTATCCTCGCTCCTTATTCTGTACAGTTAATCCTTGTCATCCCCTTTCCCCCCAGCCAGGCGTCATGCTGGCAAGAAGCCTATTCTATATACAAAATGCTTTAACCCTGAGTCACCCAGGAGTCCTTAAACTCCCAGCAGGCAGTTGCTATCAGATGGATGCTAAGGAGAGGACATCTAACAAATTTCTACTAAATGATTAATATACTAATAACTTTTAATCATATATCAATTCAATCCCACGGGGAATTCCTGTCGAGCCATGCTCCTTCTAAGTTTAAACAACAACAACAACATTGTGACAACACATTCCAGTCATCTAATTAGACACAGTCATGGCCTTCAATCCTCTTTAGGGTCCTTCCTTTCTAGACCGCATCCTATCTTTGCAATGGCGGACAAGTGAGCATTTTTAACTCCAACAAGCGTTTGCCTTTCTTGACTCATTCCCCTGTCCTCTCTCTTTAAGCCACGGTATAAAATGAATGAAGATTTCTAATGCTCTTAGCAAGCCAAGGAACCCCCACCGATGCCTACACTCTTTCTTCAAGAATAGGTGCCTGGAGGGCTGGCCACCTTTGACTTTATGAGAAAACCCTCTGTTCTTAGAAAGCTTAGATTGTCTGTATCAAGACAAATATTCAGTCTAACTCATTATCAATGGTGTAACACACCTATGTAGTAATCTCTTCTGGAGAGATCTGTCATCACGAGCTAAACTTTGGAACAGGCACACTTTTTTCTCAGTACTGGGAATTGAACCCATGGAATTATGCTATCTTCTCAGCCCGTTTTTCCCTTTTAGCTTGATACATAGTCTCATGAAGTTTCTCAGGCTAGGCCTGAACTCACTCTGTACCTAAGGCTTGCTTTGGGGAACACACTGTTGCCTTGCTCTAACCTCCCATGTTGCTGGGACTACAGGCTTGCAACCAGTTTCAGCTAGGATAGATATATTTCTAATTTGAGAGAAGGTGTGGGAAGGAAAATGTTGGGCGGTGGTGGCTAAGAAGGCTTTTGCATTGCATAGTAGGTGGTTCTCTGTACACCACTTACTCCTCTACTTGGAAATATCCTTACTTTCTCCACTGCCGTCATCATCATCATCCTCTTCCTCATCATCATCGGTGTATAAGATGGGTCCATCCGAGTCAGAGTCATTGGCCTGGTAGTCTCTTGGGGCCTCGTCCTCTGGGGCACTGAAGGATTCTGAAGAGTCTCCCATTTCTCCGGGGGTCAGCAACTGAGGTCCAGCCTTTCCCAGCTCATCTTTGGTTGTCACGCTATTAAGGGTCAAAAAGCACAGGATAATGTGAGGCTCAGAGCAGCCCTTGTGGATACCAACCCCTAAAAAAGCATGCTAGTGTCATGAACATCCTTCATGATAGGAGAGGGAGAAATGCAACATGGGGCAGCCGACCAACATCACCAACACGGAAGTTCTCTGGTGCATTACTTAACTGTTGAGGTCTTATATTTGTCACGTGTGATATCTAGCACATTCAGTAAATGAACATAGTGAAACGTTACTTTGCAGGCCTATTTGTCCATAAATAATAGGGAAGCAGAGAAAAGACTAGTGGGTTAGGGCTGATGGAGGGATAGCTCACTTAGAAAAGTGTTTGCTACGCAAGCCTGAACACCTGTGCTCTCAAGCCCGAGAATCACATGACAAAAAAATATAGCCTTGGTAGTGCTTGTTTATAACCTCAGTGCTGGGGAAGCAGGGACCAACAGGCAGATTCCTGGGACTCATTGGCCAACCATTGGAGCCTACTAGGGGAGCACCAGGCTGCAAGAAATGCTGACTTTATAAACAGTAAGATGAATGATATCTGAGGAAAGACACCTGAGGCTGACTTCTGCTCTGCACGTGAGCGTGTGCACGCACGCGCGCGCACACACACACACACACACACTCACACACAGCTCCACAGTACTTGACTTCTGTCTGCACTTGTTGTTTTCTTTTCAAGTCTAAACATAAAGCCTCGGCTCTCCCACAGATATTTCCGGATCATTTGGTTGACTTCCTTGCTCCACTCCTCTGCTCTCACAGTGATCCACTGCAGAGCTTAGCATCCCTGATGTGTCCTGTGCCTTTGACAAATAGGATTCAGAGTGCCCTGCATCCCAGCACCCTTCTGGTGTCACAGAGGAAAGCGCATCTCTTATCAATACTGGAATAAATTCCATCCCCCCCCCAGCCAGTGCGCCAACAGGCAAAAACCCTTGATCCTCTCTATGCTTTCATTTCTTCATGTGTAAGACCGCCTCTTACAGGACTAGAGTGATGCCCAAGATGCAAAGTGTTAGATAGAAGCTTTAGAAGAAAGGTAATATACTGGCGAAGGGGCAGTGATGCTTTGTCATTCAGATGGGTGAAGATCTCTACAATGCTCACCCATTTTCAAAGACTAATGTAGAAAATACTTGGAACGACAAAAGCATTTAATTTCAAAACAGTGTAATCAGTATTGTAAGACACAGAAGACCTCCCAAATACTTTCTGATATAAACAGATGAATTCACATTTGGTGTTTTCACAGACAAACAAAAAATTAAAACCAACCTCCAAGACAAACAACAACAACAACAACACTTGAAAGTCTTTTGACTGATGCACACAGGCAAACTTCATTAGAGCAAAAGGCATTTAAAACCAATTTTAAAAACTTAGAAAGCTCCATGTTTTTATTTTTACTTAGAAAGAACCCCTCAGCCTAATTGTCCTCAAAGGGGTATATGAAATCTTTTCGGAGTGTGTGTGTATGTGTGGGTTCACTAATTGTGAATGCATCACTTTGTCACTCTTAACTTTTTTTTTTGACATAGGGTCTCTCATTGACCATGGACCTTAACATTCCAGCTAGACTGATGGCCAGCAAGCTCCTGGGATCTGCCTGTCACTGCTGCCTTCCTATCCCCAACACTGGTGTCACATATGTGTACCTCCATGCCTAGCTTTAACATGGGTGCTGGAACTGAGTTAAGGTCTTTTTACCCACATTACCCATTCACATGTCTCTCTAGTCCCTGAAATCACATTTTTTATAACCCCATATTTCCCATCTTAACAGTTTTTAAGGGTACCATTCTGTGGCATTAGGTAATTCACCTTGCTGTGTAATTATCATCATGTATATCCAGAACTTTTTCATCTCTCTAAACTGAAGCTCTGCTCCCATCAACTAATAACTCCCCACATCTCCTACCTCTCAGAAATCACCATTCCAGTCTCCTCCCTGTATCTATGAAGCTGACTATTTTACAGACCTCACTAAAGGATGATTATACAAACCTTGGGGTTTACTTATTTTACTTAATGCAATGTCAATGGTATCCATGTCATAGAAGTGTCAGAATTTCCTTCCTGTTGAGAACTGAAAGGTATGATATTGCGTGCACATACCACATTTTGTTTACTCATTCATCAGCCAATTCCCAGTTGGGCTGTTTCTGCCTTTTGATTACTGTGTTTTCATCCTACATACACTAGTGTACAAATCCACTTCCCCACTTTCAATTCTTTGAACTACAGGCACAGAAGGAGAATTGTTGAATTATATGGCAATTCTATGTTCACTTTTTTGAGACAACACAGAATAGAGTGTCATTGTAAATATGGGAAGATTTATTTTATGGACAAACTTTTCCATAGTCTAGACCATTAGTTGATTGCTACAGAAAGCTATTATATTTTGAGGAGACTGCCACTATGGGTGACTACAGTATATTTAAAGGTTTGTCAATTAATAATAGTCTCTTCATAGAACAGAACAAGGTACTTCAGAGCTCAATCCTGTTACTCATGCCATTAGTCACTAATCTATTATGTTATTTTAATCTTGCCATTGGTATAGTATTTTTCAGTTTGCAGAGTTCAGCAACATTTATTTACAACTCACAACTATTTAAAACTACAAGGTGGTTAGAGAAGAAATGGCTGTAAGTACCCCACCCAACCTGCAGTGTGGCATCCAGACTGAGACCAATAGTCTACTTGCTAAATGTTATATTATATGATTATTATAATTAGTTAATATTAACTATGTTCCATGTCTGCATTGGTCAGCTCGCACCTCATTCCTGAGGGTTCCTGAGAACACTGGAGAATATTGAACATTACATAAATTCTTGTTGAGAGAATTCAACAAGTCATTTCTAAATATGACCTGAAATGGGTTGAGTTTTTTTTCTGCCCCACATTACAGAGATGTTTGTGTTATGGATAGAGCTGTAAATGAATAAAAACTTACTGAACAGCCTGCAAGATAGGAGGAGAGATGGGTATTTTTATATACAACCACTAGCCCTATTTCAAGTTTTGATATTTGTATCCCAAACAGAAGGCTTTTCATACTATGACAGAGTTTTCACACATTGGGTGACTAAATATAACCAAAGGAAAGTTCTAAGGAAAGCAAGTGAGTGAGAGCCAAAAACCCTAATTCAAATTCCACTTGAAAGAGGGAGAATTTGGGAGAAAATCAGAGACACTACATTTTCCAGGCTCATTAAGTCAAGGGCAAACACAAACTACCCCTGAAGAATGCATTATAATGTCACTTTTTAAATTTTAAAAATATACTAAGAAGAAAACGAGTTCTTCTAGGAAACTCTGAGAGTTACCCTAGCTGATGGGAATATATATATATATATATATATATATATATATATATATATATAAACATCCTTAATGTTGAATAAGACTCAAGCTTACTCCCTTTACTCTCAACATTTCTGAAAATGGAAAACTTATGTTTACTTCTTTATTTAAAAATTCTTCAGGTATCAGGGATAACTAAGACATCAAGTTCCTAGTATAAAATGGTTCTTAGCATAATTAATATAGTCTCTAAATGATCATGGAAGTGAGCTGGGAAGAGTCAGCTGCCCATGGGTATGAGCTCTCTGAACACTCAGAGCTACACACAGTTGCCTTTCTCTTTAGCACGGTGAACAACAGACCTATAGACTGCATCCACTTCCTAAAATGGAGATCTTGTCTCAAACACACACTTCCTTAGCACGCTGGCCAATATTTTGATTAAAATCAACTATTTGGGACTAGCTTGTTTTGCTCACGTTTATGCTTTGGTGTTTGCTGCATGTGCCCAGCACAGAACAAACTAACCCCAATTTAAGCCCGAAAAAGAAAAAGTTCAATTAGAAGGTTTGAAGTGACGGCAGTGTTGAGCAATACTGCGGTTACAGAAGGGTGTGCTGCGTGTTTGAAGCAGAAAGGACACTGCTGTGAGGGTTTGGATGTGTCCCTTGGAGTTCAAGTCAGAACTTCATCTTCAGTGCATTAGCACTGAAAGGCAAGGCCTCCTGGGGGCAAAGCCATAATGAATAGATGAAGTCCATTACAGAAAGGGCTCTTGGGACATGGTTAGCTACCTTGTTCTCTTGGCCCCGCCACCCTCTTGCAGCAAGAACCTCCTTATTAAATGGTGGTGCTTGATCTAGACTTCTTAGCCTCTAGAATTCTGAGTCAGTACAAATTACACTCTCTAGGGTAGTCTGCGACAGCATCACCAAACAGACCAATAATGATAACCTAGCACAGTAGGATGGTGGTAGAGCATGTCTTTAATCCCAGCACTTGGAAGGCAGAGGCAGGCAGCTCTCTGTGAGTTTGAGTTTAGCCTGGTCAGCAGAGCTAGTTTTAAGACAATACACAAAGAAACAGTGTATTGGAAAACCAAACCAAACCAAAAAACCAAACAACAAACAAACAAATGACATATCATTTATCTGAATGTCTTCTGCCTTTTATAGCTTTTACTAAAATGTCAGGCAAATAATTTGTCGCTTGATAGTTATCATCCCTCTCTTGTCCTTCAAATGGTACTTCTCCAAATGCTAAAAAATAAGGAACCAACAAAATGTTGGGAAAAAAAGAACAGAATTTGATGCCATTATTTTGGAAGAAAGGAAACTCTTCCAGGCGTGGGGTTTGGTGTGGAGTGCTAGTATTGGTCTCTCACTTGGCCACTGCTAATCTGGCAATGACGCTAAGCAAACTATTTGAACTCTCAGTTACAGGGTTTTAAATAAAGTAGAGACATTTTGGAGAAAAGTTACATGAATTAAACGGTAACAGACAGTGCTTGACCCCCACACTGATCAAGTAATCAATAAATGAAGGGTAATATTATCAACAGTTAAACAAAGTGTCTTGATCAAAGACAACCTAATGGATGTACTTGAGCACTTTTTAAGAGCTTAACATGACAAATTTTTGAAATGGATTCTATTTTCGGTTGTGAGCCTAGCCTTTAACGGCTGAGCCATCTCTCCAGCCCTTGAAATGGATTCTATTAAATGACTCAAAGACTGAAAAAAATTTAGAAACAGGAAATAGGTTATACTTTAGATTTTAGCCTTCCCTAGATGGAATTGATAATTGCATAATTGAAAATTGCATCTATTCGATCTCTGCTAGTCTTCCCTACATACCTATGGGGCAGGAGGTCTAACCTGCCTAACAGAACGTTAATAGCATATTTACAGGACTTTTTGTGTGGTATCAGTAAAGGAGGGTAAAGATCCTTATGAACTCCAGGTTTCTGGATTGGGGAGCTGGACAATAATGGGACATCAGCCTACAAAGGGCAAGACCAAGTTCTTGGGCCCATTTTATTTTGTTCTTTTCTTGAAGAAAACTAAGAGGACATGACCACAATCGTGCCCTCTTTAGGATCTATGGAATCCATCATCAGAGGCCTCTCACCTTTAGCATATCAGTGATGTAGGCTGATCTTGGCTCACCTTCTAGCTGTCATGTGACAATTTGGTGAGTGTGCACTGATGGCCTACAGTGCACTAGACTCTATACTGGTCGCTAGGAACACCGAAGTAAATAAGGCATGCTGTTTACTTCTGCCCTATATGTAGGAAAACTTTTCCAAATAAAGTAGTCACTAGCATGTCAACAAGTATCAGAAGACTTCACAGAAGAAATTAGGATTCAGTAGAGAATTAGGGAGAAAAGAGTCATTCTATTCTCCGTATGAGTAGATCCAGAATTTTAATGAGTTCTTTACTGCTGGTCTTAATTTTCCTGGAGAAGAAAGCTAAGTTGTTACAGCGAGGTGAAGCTGAGAAAGAATGGATGAGTTATCTTGGAGCAAATGATGAAGGTTTAAAACAAGTACCAGAGGGAAAAAGAAGGAAGATATCTAGGTAGAAGAAAAGAATGATGAGCCAGGCTGATAGATGTTCTGAACATCCTCAGGACCAAAGTATATTTGTTAGAAACATCACTGTGATTTTCAGTACAGTCTAAGGGACCCCACAATTAGGGCTTAGGAAACTCACTGGTGAGACTATGGGTGTGTTTACCTAACATCCAGCAGGTTTAATACAGACAGGAGCAGACTGCATTCTTTTATTCCACAAGAAAACTCTAGTAGCTTGTGACACTTAGACAGCATATAGGGTCTGTGTGCCCACTTACCACTGTGCAGGATCTCTGCTACCACTTAAGGCGGTGCTTCTGTTCGTCTGCTCTTCAGTCCAAAGGAGCTGACTTGGGTCTAAGGCAGAGACAGGCACGGTAGGTCCATCACTGCCCAGGACCATGGGAGTGTCCAAGGCAACAATGCCCTGATCCTCAAGAGGCAGAGGAAGGGCAGGTGATGAGGGCGGTGGCGCCACAGGAGTTGGAGGGACGGTAGCCTTGGATTTGCCTGAGGCCTGCTCCTCAGCTCCAGCAACAGTCTCTTCTTGTTTGAGACTCTCTAGCACAGTGTCTGATGGCTCTCCTTTGAGACTAGATGTGTCGGCAGTGGTGGTGTCTGAGGACACTCGGGATGCTGCCAGCTGCTTGCCAATCTTTTTCTTGCCCCGGGTGGTCCCCACTATGCCTGCTTTGCTAGCCACTGACTCCTTGGACACTTTGGGACGAGAGGAGGCGGAGGAAGCAGATGCTGAAGCAGATGCTTTGGAACCAGTCGTTTTCTTCGGATGAGAAGAGCCAGCTAAAACAGAGAAATTTTTACATTAAAAAAATCAAAGAATGCAATATGCCTTAAGAGACCAAGATGCAATTGCCAATGACATTTGAAATGTTCCTTTTAAAATACATCAAGTCAACAAATGGTAAGATAATTGGTCAATTATGATAATGGTCTTGTTTTCTGTCCCATCGTAGCCTCTCATGTGAGAGGGAACAGGTGACATTCAAGTAAAACCAAAGGGCAAGAATCCTCCATATTCACCAGAAACAGCTAAACGGGGCAGCTGCTCTTCACCCTGAGTCACTCTTACAGACTCTGAAGAAGAAACTTGGTCCTATGAAGCGACACTACTGGCAAGCTGACTGCAAGACATAAATGGGTCCTTCCTTGTTTCTTTCTGGGGATGGAGAGGTGGCCCATATTCAGAAGAAGCAGCGTAGATATTGCCAGCCTCTTTTCTGGGTCACAAACAAATTAATTTATCCCACTACTTTCCAAGTGGCAAACTCCAAGGCAACTGTTCCCAAAACTCCAGAGAAGGAAGGCTGACCTGCTGGCCTATAGTTACACCTGCTGTAGTGAGGGGGTCAGAGGGGACAGTCACAGTGGAGATCCCCTCAAAACATCAGAATGCAAGGAAAAATGCTTACTGTGGTTTAAAATTATTTACATGGGTAGAATCTGAAGAACTTCACTCCTAGCACGTGTACACACGTGTGTATGCATGTTTGTCCACCCATGTGTGTGTCTATGTCTGTGTAGTTCCTCATGCTCATGCCCTTGAGAGGGTCTTCTTGTGTTACTCAGTTTGGAGCTCCTGGGCTCAGATGATTCACTTGTCTCTACCGCCTGAGAAGCGGGGACTGTCAGTGTACATCACTTCAACTTTTTCCAGAATTTCCAATCCCAACCACCCTGGCCACCTAGTTATTTTTACTTTTTAATGTTCTAGGCAGGCCTTCAAAGGACTGCCACAGCAGTACCTTTGCTTATTTCTAGATAGAGCTGTCATCAACTAAGTAATTTCCAGGAACACAAGTTAGGTAGCCTTTCCTTTTTTCTTATAATTACGTGCATATATTTTAATTTTTCTTTATGTCATCCTAGGAAATCCATTTAAAATCCCATGTGAATACTCATTTGGTTCATCGTCTTTCTGATCTGTATTTTCTCCTAATATCTCTGCTATTACAATGCTACATAGTCTTACTTTCCTAAGAGCGGGGGAGTTTGTTTCACACAACTATCAAAAAATGTCTTGGTAATACACCAGGGCCATCCCATACTGCACACAGGTATCACAGTGACTTACCTCTGGAGGCAACTTTATTGACATCAATGTGAGAATTGAAATGAAGAACAAACAGAGGAACAGACAATGAGACATATAACTTCATTAATTTTGACATATAAAGAAGCCAGTCTTATTTAGTGACAAGATTCAGGCTTACAAGGTATCTCTAGTTAGGGTAATTACTATTTTAGATACACATAATAGCTTGATTTCCCCTTTGCCAAATCTGGGCTTGTCTGTAGACTTAATGAATCTGATAGTCTTTCTCTGATTACAAGTTAAACTCATTAACCATACTAAAAAATCTAACTAACTCCACTCAAAATTGGCATGAAGGGTTTTGTGCTTAAACATGTTCAACTATTTTCCTAGTTAAGTTAAACAGATCCTTTCTTCATATCCATTGTAATACCAATTTTAACATTTTTGAAAAAATTTATTTTTTGACACAGAATCTTTAATGTCATCCCATTTTAAAGAAAAATATTTTTCCAATACCTGGAGTGAAAATTCAAGCCATATATTTTTTTTAGGTTTGAAACCTAACATCCCAGCCTTTGGTTGATAATAAATAGATAAGGGGCATTGTGTAATCTTTGCTTTTAAAGTCTCTTCTAACACAAGGGGGCTTTGTTGAGAATAACCTTGGTTAATAGAGAAATTCCACCTCTGAGTTAAGTATTTTTATTAATAGCAACAACAAGAAAGACAAAATCCTGGTGAAATCAATGACATTCTAGACTGACAGGTGGATCAATGGGGCCTCTACATGAAAAGAAAAAAATGTAGGTGATGCCTGTTCACAGAATGTAAGAAATTTAATGGAAAAATCAAGAGTCTCAAGGCAGCCCCTGCTTTTCAGTGACAGTCCCAGAAGCAGTCACTTCACTTATAGAAAGGGCCCTGCGTCTGTTACATTAATACAATGGATAAGATGACAATTCCTCTAGTTCATAGAGTACACCATAGGAACATCATAAGTGTATCCTAAGTCTTCAAAAAAGCATTTGTGACTAACTCAAGATATGTGCTGAATGCTGTGCCCAGACTTTGTATTCATCACCAGCTTTCTTCCCAGGGTCTGAGCTCATACCACCTCGAGAAGGAGCGAGGGAGGAGGTGTACGTAAGACAGAATCTTAATTCCCAAGGGCAAAGTGATGGTTTGGGAATTTTCCTTACTTAGTGGCTTGGTGCCTGTGTAACTTCACACACCACTGCTAGGCTTTGTAGGGCCATGGGTGGACATACAGACGCCAATAGGAAAAGACGCTGAGTCCCCAAGGAAATGGTCCTTAGGCACTGCTGGTTTATCATTCTGAGATATTTCACTTGAGAGTGATTAGAAGAGGCCTGGGCATCAAAGATCAAAACTCGCAAGAGAGGAGCCCAGAGAGAGGTCTACTTGCATTTTTACAATGCCAACTAAACCATTCTTTGAAATTCAGGATGACGAGTATAAACTACAAGAGGAAAATGATCAACACCAAGGCAAAATCCTTGCAGTTAATTTCTGGAAAGTTGCTACCTTTTTTAAGCTAGCTAAGATTTGGTACAGTACAAAAGAACTTTTATGAACACATTAATGGGGAAAAGCCATTGATCATGGGAATTTTGATCTGTGTCCTTTTAAAAGTTAGATGACACAGCTGGCATCTTTATTCCATGAGAAGAATGGAACCTGCACTTTGAGAAATAATATGAATGTACAAATGCCCATTCATGATTTGTAATGGCAATGTGTAATTGCAACACACTAGGATCTGATGGTCTTCTGGGGTGAGTGTGAGGGAGCAGCCCTGAGCAAGCAACTCTCAGTCCATCGGAATAATGGTTAAGTGGAGTAGGAAACAGGGGATGCTGCTGACCATGTATATGATGAGCCTTTTGTCGCTTATCAGAAGACAGACTTGAGAATTGAAAACATTATGATCCGGCAAATATGTTAAAGACCTGTGTCATGTTTTAACACACTAGTCTGGGGCATTTTAAAGGAGGAAAGCCAACAAGTCACCCATAGACTCTCATGGGCACAAGGCCTAGATACTGTTTCATCTGGTCAGGCTCACTCCCAGGCACACTAAAGTCTTATGCAGTGATTGTGGAAACTAAGATGAAGACTTCACAGTTACTCCAAAGACAACAAAGCTAACTCTTCTTGGTAGATAGCTACCACTTCCAGGGAGAATCTGAGGCATTCTTACGACTCGCTGGTGTTGGACCTGGGATAACAAAAGACCACACTCCTGGAAGAAGCTACAGACCCCATCCCAGAGCCCGACATCCTGAACTCTACCCCGTTACGTACTAAGGCATACTCACCAGCCTCCCGGGTTGTGTTTCGGCTTGTTGGCTTGGGTGGAGGGGTGGGGGCCTGCTTACTGGGAGCCTTGGTATTTTTTCTATTAGGAGTCACTTCATCCCCTTTGTGGCTGGCCCCAGCAGTGGCCCCTTTGGGAGGCACAGGAGATTTTTTGGGTTTAGGTTTGGGTTTAGGCTTAGGAGGAGCTGTAGGAAGTAGAGCAGGAGCAGCCGGTGTTTCAGCAGAGTGGATTTCAGTGTCCTCTATGAATGAGAAAGTGAACAGAGCAGACTGATACAGACACACACCATAGAAAAGCAAGGAGCAAGGCATGGCGACAGTGTTACATACAGATGGCTTTGTGACGTTTGGAAACCAGACAGTGTTTTCACTAGAAGAAGCAAAGTTTCAAGGCAAAACAAAAACTGAAAGACAGACTGGGAAGGGTTCTCTGGGTCCATCCATGCCTCCTTTGATAAAAGGGTGACACAAGTTGCTATGATGTAGACCCACTAAGGATCAGCACCAATGTGCACTAGCCATCGTCCCTATTCCAGCCTTCACTCTGCTGTTGTTGGATGATGACATGGGCAATGTGTGCTAAATGGAACACAGCAAAGCGAAGGACCCTCAAGCGTGACAGGTAAATGTAGCCCACACACTGCCACGGGTGAGACTGACAGCCACAATAATGACTGCACTTCTGGTTGTCTTTGAAACTCACCCGGGTTAACCAGAAGTCTTAGTGTGGCCCAAACAATCATGTACAGTCTATACTCTGGGAGGCTCCAGGGGTGTTTGCCACAATGCACTTGGCAGTTACTTTCTGTCACTAGAGTGCTTTCTCATTCTCACAACAGGGCAGGGCAGCTATAAGTTCTACAGTGACTCCTTCCACCCTTTCCATCAGAGCCACAGCTATAGGTAGTTACACAAAATGCAGGGTAAAAAGTTCACTCTGTTTTACAATGCACGCTTCCATAATAGTTCCAAGACAAAGCACACATTTCACAGAAAGAAATTGTACACAAGAAGAGACGGCCCCTTGAGAGCTGAAGGAGAAACAGCATTGCTCTGGGGATGCTGAGAGCTGATTATGTCCCCATGTCTGTATTATTTGCAATCATGACTGAAATAAATTGAAATACAGCTCCAGCCCAGACAGCTAAGTGGTATCTCTTTTAAAATGGAGCACAATAAAAACTAAAGACAGTGTCAACACTATCAGCCCTTACTGAATAGATCTTTCGAGTGACCAAGAAGGTCATGGCACATGTCATATTCCATTACCATTTCTTCTGTTTTGTTTCTTATCCTAGCAACCATGAATTGAGTACCCCTCCCCTTTAAACCCCATCCCTTGTCAATAAAACCATGTGTCTAGCTGAAATAGCGATTTCAGTTACAGAAGCTAATCAATAAAAACTTTGTTTTAAAGTCCCCCTGCCACCTCATTGCCCTTGCCCTAACCATGACCTTCACCAAGTGTGGCTGTCCAAATTGGCCTCTTCTACCTCTGCATGTAATCAGGGTTACAGCACCAGCCACTTCACATCTGAGGGGCAACTCTACAACTCTGCCTTTCTGGTCATATATCTCCTCTCAACTTAGAGTCTTATTCTTCAACATGCAGTGCTTCTGGCAACCCACCCGGTATGAAGCAGGGGTCCAGGTGGCCACAGAGCCCCATCTGAACTGAGAAAGATGCAAGGGACACACAGCTAAACACACTAACTTACTGAATGATGCTAAGCGCAGTCTTCTGACACAGGGGAGAAGTGTATTCTTTTAGTTCCTACTCTGTGTTTGTATGCATATGTATAGTGTATATATGTGAGTGCACCTATATACACATGTGCATAGAGGTCACAGGCCAATGTCAGGTGTCTGCTCAATTGCTCTCTGCCTTACTCTTTAAAGATACGGTCTCTCATTTAACCCAGAGCTCACATATTGGCTGGGCCAGCTGGCTGACAAGGTCTGGGGATCCTGCTGTCTTTGCATATACCCCACTCCGTGCTACGGTCACAGGTGTGAAATACCATACCCGGTTTTATGTGGATGCTGGGGGGTCCTAATTCTGGTCCTCTTCTTTGTGTAACAGGTACCTTACCTACTGAGCCATATCCCCAGAAGTCTACTCTTTAAATGCATCTCTGTGGCTTTAGTTTCTGTCCCACAGCCTTGCATGGAGATCAAGCCCAGTGATCTCCACTGGACAGTGCTGAGTTTGCGCACTTGGGATCTTGACTTTTTTAAATATTATAAGCCCAGTGGGACATTTTGGGTCTTTCTGCTTAATGTTTAAGTTGCAGAGCATGCAGTTAGACTCTTTGGGCTTAGGAGGAAAAGGATGGGTTGACTCTCTGATAGCTGGAAGTACCCATTCCTACCAGGGTGGATACACTACACACAAACCCTAACAGTTCTTTGGAAACCATGGCGTGCTCCTCTTTAGCCTCTCAATTCCACCATGACAGTGCTCTGTAACTGCCTGCCACACTGGTGACGCCTACGTTGTGTGAATGTTCATGAGATTATACAAAGCGTATGTTTTCCTAACTAGATTAAAATTGCCTTCTATCTGAAAATTTACATCTAATCAAATACAATGCCTTACCGGTCAGGTCTGTTCAATGAATGTGCCTGGTTGACAGTATTGACAATCAGTGGAAAGTACCCTTTACTTGTACGTGGTTGATAATAAATTAGGTTACATTTTTGACTGTGAACATCTGATGGGAACACTGTCATTTTAAGGGGATGTCATGAGAGAGCTGTCTGTTCATTCTGGCTTCGGGAGGACACAAAGCTTCATAATAGTCGTCTGGAAAACAAGCTGTCCCCTCCACTTCCAGACTTGGCTCTCTCATCTACGTAAAGGGCTGAGGTCAACAGTTGGAGCAATCCAGGACTACATGTGCCCCGCACCTGGTCTGGCATGCATTTCTGTTCCAGTTCCTCTCTTTTACCTGCCTGTCTCCTTCCTGTCTCCCCTAGGACTTTGCCTGGAAAAACATTTCATAGAGAGAAACAACCCTGGTCTCCACTGAGAGTTCCTTGGCTTTGGTACTGTGGCCTGATCAGTGGCTTTGCATCTCATGACTATTGCTGAGAGCCACCTGTTCTCTTAGGGGATCTGCCTTTGGACGGAGGCCACTCTTTATTCTCTTTGTGGCCTCTGCTAGAGTTTGATTCATGCTAGTCTTTCAGCACTGTTCATGAAACAACGAAATGTTGATCACTGTTCCTTCATTAAAGGCCTTTCATAATCATGCCATGGAAACAATGTCGAACAACGTTCAGATTTCATGTTGTTACACTGGAACAGATCATAGAACTAAATGTACAAATTTGAGGGATAAGACAACAAACTCTCTCACCATTTTGTGTCTCATATATCTAAGGATATCTACTGAGGAAAAAAATAATAGGAGACCAGGAGCCTAGAAGACCTTGAGGTAGAAGTTTAGTGTTGCCAGAAGAGGCCCAAGGTTACCAACTGTAGACTCAGAATCCTTCAGAACCCAGAAATAACCATATAGCCTGAACCAAACCCACCCACAGAGCCAGCACCTGACATGTGCTCTGCTTTTGAATATTTTCTTAGAGAGAGGCAAAAGTGAATCAGGCTGGTTTTTTTGGAATTAAAAGGTATAGGACTAAAGAAGTAATTTATACCTTTATTCGTAAGTAATTTCTATTTTACCTAATGCTCTGTGATATTACTCATGAGGGACAATCATTTAAGCTTCAGGAAATGGTTTTCATTCTTTTGTTTGTTTGGTTTTTTTTGTTTTTACAAGCCAGGGTTTCTCTGTATTGTTTTGGAGGCTGTCGGTTCAGCCCGGCCTCGAACTCACAGAAATCCGCCTACCTCTGCCTCCCGAGTGCTGGGATTAAAGGCGTGCGCCACCAAAGCCAGGCTTATGGTTTTCATTCTTAACGCCTCTCTTTGTTAGTGGCACAGCTCCACCTGGGCTCTGTCCACACAAGGGGGAGCTACAACAGCCACATCATGACACACCAGCACTGCTGGCGTCTCCGTCTCCCCGTGAGCTAGCGCTATCATGGAACTTCCTAGCCTAGAAAGAACTAAACATACAAATTTGTGGGATAAGACAACAAACCCTCTCTCAGCCATTCGTTGACTTACAAGATCTGCCATCTTTTGCATAGAACACCAAGGCCTGCCAGTTTAACTAACACAAACCTGTCAACAACACTTTATCATGTTGATAAGGGAGGTACTTCCCTTTAAGTCTGGACAGTCAGGGAGTGGCAATAGCACCCACAGGGACTAGGGACAAACCACAGATGGATATGAAGTTTAACAATTTGTTGAGACAGGAGAGTTGGAATGAAAGAAAATAAAAAAACAGGTACCTGTCCCCTTCCCAACCAAACTCATGCCTTGCAAGCAAATCTCTTTAAAAGCCTGTCTGCTTTCTCATTATGTTTCAGAAATATTATCATTAGAAGCACAAGCTGATCTTTTGTAATCAGTGTTAATAAACTCAACTAGAGATTTTCATTGGGAGAAATAAAGGAAAGTCCCATAAATGCAATGCTTAATATCTGAGGACAGCCAATTAATACATTTCCAACAGCTTATTCAGTAAAGGCATTATACTGTCTATGCAAATGATCACAGGGTTCCAGTCTTCCAAAAATGTCTTCACATTACCAGGCTAACTTAATAAAACCCTTCTTTCCCTCTTGTCTGTCAAGAGAAGAAGTTCACTTAAAGGAATTTCTAAGAGTTCTCAAAATATCTACGTAACCCAAGGGAGATTGACAAATGTTACCAACCAACTCAGAGACAAACCTTATGGAAAATGGGAAACATACTATTTCCTGAAGATCCCTTTCTATGCACATGGCAGATGTATTCAGAATGTTTTTGGCTAAACTTTTCCCTATAGGATATCAGCTCAAGGTTTACATAAGTATAAGGCTTGTGTGCAGTTGTGATGGATCCACCGTTAGGTATTCATGGACATTCTGGAGGACCCCATTCGACATGTATTTACAGTACCCACTCTAGAACCTGAAGTTTTTAAGAGAGCCCTTTGTGGGAACAGCATAGTTGCCTCTGGCATATTCTGAAACTTCCAAGCACACAGGTAGATCACAGATCAGAGATAGTGGCATTGTAACCACAGCTCCTTATGGAACTCCTCCTTGGTATATCTTAGAAACATCTAGAACTTGAAGTACTTGGGTGTATGGATGCATCAGCTACTTCCTGCTGCTAGCGAGGGAGTCTAGGCTGAGAGACACATGGCCCCTTGTTGAGCGGCTCACACAAACCAGCCACAGGTGAACCCACATTCCAACTGCTTGTGTTTTTCACCTTGAGAGAAAACAGTTATGAGAAGGACATCATTTCCAGGTAAATGTAATGCCTGAAGGGTTTAATCCTTGTGATCAGGACCATTAATTAGTTCTCCTCACTAACACAAAAGCAGACAGACATCATAGCTATAAATAGATGTGTCCACCTGAGGAGGCCATGTTGTCTCTCTTTCCTAGCTTCCCTTTCTCTCTTCTCCCAATTTGCAAGCCTCCTGTCTGCAGGCTCCTAGTTTTAGGGTCACTCTTTGATTCTCGATTCTGGGCTGCACTACAGGCAATAATACGGGATTCTCTTTATTTTTTACCTGTCTTATCTTCCTCCTTTTCCTCCGGAGGTGGTGTTTTCTCACACATAGAGCCATTCCCTTCTTCGAGTTTCCCTACATTCTCCTCTTGGGTAGACTCCTCTCCGATGTGTATCATGTGCCCGTTTGAATTTTCAAAGTTAACTGTTACATCTCCATCTAAAATTGGAAAGAAACACCTCGATGTCTAACTTGATGGCTTTCTTTAAAAAGAATTTTCCCATTTACTAGGACTGCAGGATTTGGGTTTGTGTTTCTGTCCCTGGGAACCAAATCACCATGTTTTCCCAACAAATTTCTTTAAAAGGAAAAAGGTAGAAAATCCTTGGTTTCAAGGGAAAGCAACAATTGAAGGAGAGCCCTACGCCATTTGAAGACATCAGGCATAGCCACCCTGATCACCCAGTGCCCTAGGTCAGCAGAGTTCCTCTGTCCTTGTGTTTAGGTTTGGTTGAAGTAAACACTGAGGTGTTTCTTTTGCATCCAGAAACTGAATGAAGGAATGATCTGGAAAATGGAACAAACATTGCAACATGTAAAACCACAAGGTGAATTCAAATATACACATAACATGAAATGTATTTACACATACAGACAGTAAGGTGGGAGTGGAAGATTTCCAGGCACCAGCACCTGCTGAGTGTGTTAGATAATGTCCACACTCTACACAGTAATGTAACTGGGAGTGTGTTAGATAATGTCCACACTCTACAAAGCAGTGTAACTGTGAGCGTGTTAGACTATGTCCACACTCTATACAGTAATTAACAACCTTTGTTCAGGGGAAAGATAGTTTTAAGACTAATTTCATTTTTTCTTTTTTATGGGAAGAATAAAAGCTAACGATAGCTAAAAAAAACATACCTCGAAAGCTAGTTAAAGAAGAATTTTTAAAATTTACTGGTTAAAGCAGAATTCCTCCCATGTTCTAAATCATAAAGACTAATTTTAACTCCTGGACTGTCAGGTATTTAAAATTCAAGGGATTCTAAGAATTCAGTGGTGCTTGGGAGGATTATCCCAGTAATTATTCCCATACACAGAAACATAAAAAGGCTCTGTTACTATCATAAGAGAAAAATTAAGGAACCAAAGTTTTGATTTAATCTAATTTGAAGAAATTTACTAACAGTGTTGTTTCTATGGAGTTTTAAAAATTAATTTCTTGGCAATCATAAAATAGAGATCATAGCTGGGTACTGGTGGTTTGCTCACACCTTTAATCCCAGCACTTGGGAGACAGAGAAAGGTTAATCTCTGAGTTTGAAGCCAGCCTGGCCTACAGAATGAGTTCCAGGACAGCCAGAGGTACACAGAAAAACCCTGTCTTGAAAAAAATATTTCTCAAATTTTAACTGATTTCCTCCATACAATTCACAGGCCTTCTTGTCAAAAACAAAACAAAACCATAACATAGCTAAAATATGGAATTATGCCATGCTGAAAATGAAAATTGAATTGACACAGAGTCATGTAGTTCCTAAGGACCTATATTCTGATTCTTAAAGAAAAGTAAAACAGAGAATAATGCAAGGCAAGGCCATTGCAAATGAATCTTCACAGTTTCAGTAATATCAGGTACAAACTTATAGGACTTGAGGCAATTAGTTTTCAAAAGAGGAAAAAGGAACATCAAATACACTGGTAAAATAAAAGCAATATAAAATGGACAGTTCTAAACAAAACAAAAAAATTCCACTTCTTTATATATAAATCCTTACCTTTAAAGGAATTCAAATAAAGGTTTTATTTGTGATTTCTGATTATAGTTAGTGGAATCCTAAAGTCATGTCAACAATAATTTAATGCTATTTCGTAATCATAGTTTTATCACTTTATTAGTTTTAACACACTAGTAAACAACTATAGAAAACTTGAATATTGTCACAATAGTATGCATGACAAAAAGCAGTCATGGGGAAAGGTACTTACACTGAGTCATGAAATAAAAATAGTGCATATAAGAGCAATGGCAGAAAAAAGACCATTTGTAGGAAATAGGAAGTTCCCGAAACCAACTGAAGATATTAAAATGAGTGGCATCTATATCTTGAAAGCTTTCTTAGAAATCTGTTAAGAAAGTTTTCTCAGAATTAAAATAAATTCAATCCCAAATATAGGAAGCTATGCAAACAAAACATAAGCCCAGTAAGAGAAGATGGTGCTGAGCCAGGCCTAGGCTGTAGGGACAGGTGACAAACACTGGAAGGGTCTGTGACTCACAAAATCACACTCAGCTCAGAGGAAAAGAAGGAGAACCATTACACCAAGAAGATCACAGGTGATGAGAAAAAAAAACCATGATTCTTCAGGAGGGAGAAACAAACTAGAAGATAATAGAAATCAGATGCCAGGTACTCGGGTGAGACACTTGCGTGACCTCATGTTAGAGACTTGAGAAAAGATGGAGGCAAAGAAGTAAGTGAGGACTAGGACATTTGTGAGGACTTTTTCGGAGGGAAGATCATTTGGTGAACTTTTAGATTGAAGTTAAGCTTGGTGTGAAAAAACACAATCTGGAAGGAAAAACAATCATAGCCGAGATGGATAGGGTCGGGTGAGGTCACAGCCATGGCAGCTGGAGGGGCTTCAGAGGTCTATCTGGTCCACAGAATGAAACTCATCGCTGACATGCCCTGTCAGGAGTTTCAGCAATGTCAAGACAGAGGCCATGAGTGCATCTTCATTGATGGAGAGAGGCTGTCACAAAACAACAGCAGCATCCAGCCTCTCGGACAGGTATCCTCAAGATAATAATTGTCTTGGGGAAGATGATCGCTAAAATGAGAAAATAGGAAACTACGTTCTCTATCACTTGGCTGAAAACTGAGAGATCTCCAAGGGGCATCCTCAGGTACTTTCAACCATTAGTAATTCTGGTGTTCTAGATGAAAACTGTGCCAAAGCACATAGCAAAATCAACCAACTAGCAGTCTCCACCGACACTTCTGAATTAGGAAACACATCTTGTCCGTAAGCTCTACCATCAACCCCAATAACAGGTTTCAATCACAATTGTCCCCTTTTCTTTTTAATGAGATTATTTTTTATTTTTAGTTATGTGCACGTGTTTGTGTGTCTATATGCAAGTGTGTACATGTGCGCGTGCATGCAGGGCCCTCAGAAACCAGAAGAGGATATCAGATTCCCTGGGAAAATAGTTGCAGTCAGTTGTGAGTCTTTAATGTGGGTGCTGGGAACTGAATTCATATCCTCTGCAGGAGCAGTAAGCACTCTTAACTGTTGAGCAATCTCTCCAGCTCCCCTATCCTTTCTTTAAAATATTTTCAAAACAACGGGACACCGAACAAATAAATGGGTCACTTCACAAAGTTGACTGCAAGGGCTTCAGTTGTGCAATTTCTCTGCTGCCTTCAGAGACTGGGGGGGGGTATGGACCTGGATACTGTATGCTTGCCTTCTGTATGCCTACTTCCTACATATCTACCTTCTACATGCCTACTTCTTGAATGCCTACTTCTTACATGCAAACCTCTTGCATACCTGCCTTTTACATGTCTACCTGCTGCATGCCTACCTTTTATTACTGCCTTCCTTCTACATGCCTAACTTCTACATGCCTACCTTCTACATGTCAACCTCCTGAAAACCCACCTCCTGCTAGGAAGGGGAAGTGTGAGCATTTTTCATTTTTAAAGCTCCGAGTCAGGAAACAAATAACTTCAAGGAAATAGCATATTGAAAACTACAAAAAGGTCATTAACAGAGATGAGTGGGAAAAATTTCACAAGTCAGAAATTGAAGGAAAATTTCTAAAATTGTGATGGTTTGTTCAATCAAAATAGTATTATTCCATTCAGGCTTCCCTCACTCCTGAAGTAGTATTATTCCATTCAGGCTTCCCTCACTCCTGAAGTAGCCATGCATTTCCTAGATGCACATTGGGATTATTCTGTTATTAGAAAAAATGACATTTCAACTAATATACAATGCATGCCCCCAAATGTTATATTCTTTATAAGGAACATCACATATATATAATATATTATATGTATATGTATATGTGTATATACATATGTATATAGAGAGAGGCAGGGGGAGGGAAGTATCATTATTTAAATTCCAAATCAATAGCATTTTATTTCTTCCCATAAAGTCTCAATAATAATACAGTCCCCCAGTAAACTTGGGGGAATGAAGGAGAAGATTGAGATAAATCATCAGTATGGTAGCAAAATGTCCTTTAGTTTTAACAGCAGCAGGAACAAAGAAAATAATATGGAATTATTTATTTGCCAAAATAACCAGTGTTGGTGTCTTCTTTGAGGGTCAGTCTTAATTTCCACATAATACTTGTCTTTTCTAATCAACTTCCCTCCTTCAGAGGATACAGGTAACAGGGAAGAGAAAACTAAAAGAAAACGAAAAACTCCTGGAGAGAATTATCGGTAACAAGGTGAGAGGCGATAGGACTCAGAGAAACAAAAGAGGAGCGGATTACTTGGGAGAAAGCATAAGGCAGATTAAGCTGTTCACTCGTGCTTTATTGATTTGTGAACATGAGTCAGTGTGTTAGGCAATGTGAGAGACATGACACAACGCTGCTGCTATCTCTTTTATTGGCAGTGTTGAGGGAGAAGTAAGGCGCGAACAAACTAAAGCTGGACTCACTCAAACCATCGAGTTTAACTTGATTAGAAGAGTAAAGCTTGAGGTCCAGGAGGCGAAGGAGCCAGGCAAGCATCTTGCCCCGTATCTCTAGCTACCAGTGCAACAGCCTGAAGAGCACAGACTTTAAAGCAACCCATGGAGAAGGATCGACTAGAAAAGTCACCAGCTGGACTTCTTTTCTGTGACACCTCAGCCTCTTGGCCACCCCAGAGAGACATTCCAGGTTGCAGCAAGATTCCTGGCACGCACTACTGGCTGCTTTACCTGACAACGGCCATGGCCACTTTAGATTCCAAAAGAAAAGGAAAGAGCAAAGACTGAAGAATCCAATTAGCTTAAATGTAAGACAGATCTCCTCACCTTGATCAGGCAATTCTTTCAGCAGGCCTCGTCTTATGAGCTCCTCTCTGCTTTGCCTGGTGGATATCTTCCTCTCCAGTACTTAAAAAAAGAATAAGTACAAGTAAGGATCAAGTCATTGCTTAGCACAAGTATGAACAATAATCAAAGTACTTGAGCACATTTATTCTGTCCAACTGAAGGCTCAAAGCCCCATTTGTTTTTATGCCCACAGAGAAGACTGACCTAGCGTCCAGACAACACAGTGAGGACACAAGCAGTTCATGCATGACTGAGGCCCAACCACTGTACCTGGCCAAGATGACCATGTCTGAAAAGGAATCCAGACATTTTACTGCATACCAGCTATGGAGCACAGAGGTCACTTAACATCTTTTCTTTGATAATGCTGCTTTCTGAAACGCATGCCAACAGAGGCACTTGAAGTGAGATACCCAAGTGTGCTACTGGAGATAGTCATATGAAGTGACTTCAACCCTGGGTTTTCTGCATAGATGATTCCTGGGCTTTATACACATGCATAGACCATGTGTGCATATATGACATGGAGATAGAGGTGAGGCTGACCAGGGGGAAAGGGGACTAACGGGAAAAGGGACTGTGGGCAAGGAGATGGTAGAGGTCATGAGAAAAGTATACTTCAAGTACAATATAGACTTGTGTCACAATATCCTTATATGACACAGCACCGTGTACAATGAATACACACAAGCAAAAGAGAATAAAAGTATAAATGCTGAAAATCCAGATAACTGTGTGGGCTCTCAGAAGGTCTAAAGTTAGTTCTTTCCAAAGGCCTTTAAAATTACATCAATCAATCAACCATCCATCCATCAATCAGTTCATTAATTTGTGAATGCATATGTGCACATACCCCCACACAATCCATGGATGTATGTATAGAGGACCAGGGACCAATTCTGGGAGTTGGTTCTGCCATATGGGTCCCAGTAATTCACCTCAGATTATCATGTGTGGCAGCATGTGTCTTCACCAGCTAAGACATCTCACCATCCCTAAATTAGTTCTTTTTTTTTATTAATTAAAATGTGATTTTTAGTAGTATTTATTTTATGTGTACAGATGTTTGTTTGCACATATATATGTCTGTGTACTATCTGCATACATGGTGTCTGAGGAGCCAGAAGAAGGTGTTGGTTCCCCTGGGACTGGAGTTATAGAGTATTGCAAGTTACTACATGGGTATGGAGTAACACTCTTAGCCCCTGAGACATCTCCCAAGCACCCCTAAATTAGTTCTTAATGCCAAAAATTCTAAACAAACAAACACAACATAAAACAAAAAGCCCCCAAATCAGAAACAACCCACACAGCTCCTGTAAATATTTCATCTGAATCCTGGTAAGAAGGGATGACATTTAGTGAGGTTTTTGTTTTTTGTTTGTTTGTTTGTTTTATCTCTTTCATGCCATCAACTCAAAATGTCAACACAAAGATCTCTGTGACTTTTTGTTTCTCCAGTCATGCACTCTAGAGGTTCTGCTATATCCCCTGACAAACCTTAGGGAGGATGAAGAAGGGAATTAAGAATGGGCAGCTTAGCCGGGTGGTGGTGGCGCACACCTTTAGTCCCAGCACTCGGGAGGCAGAGGCAGGCGGATCTCTGTGAGTTCGAGACCGGGCTAGACCAACAGCCTCCAAAACAATACAGAGAAACCGTGTCTCGTAAAACAAAAAACAAAAAACAAAAAAAACAAAAGAATGGGCAGCTTTCTGAGGCAAGTAAAGGGAAGGAATCTCTACATGGATTCCTTCCAGAGGAAGGAATCTGTATTCCTAATATAATTTAGGGTGGACCTTGGGAACCGAAGGCAGGACCTCAGCTTCACTAAGCCTGCACATCTGAATCCTAGTATATCACCAGCTTCCCTTCCCATTTGAGGGCCCAGCAGGTGGAGGAGGATGAACAGTTGCCATTGAACTTGGTGAAGTACACAAAAGTCTTCTGTGAGTGTCTACTGAAGGCAAGAGCTTCCAGGACAGCAACACTTAGCCTCTTGTGAAGAAACTAGGAAGTGTGTATTGCCATACATATATACATACACATATGCGAACATACATATGTCCTGGTTACTAGAAAGTCAGAGTAAAACTTGACACTTAACACAGACTTCAAGGGACATTACACATTTCTTCCTTTCCTGCAACCTGAACTCAATTTCATTTCATGCACAGTATATGTGCTCTTTGTTGTAAGTTGTCGAATGTGCTTTTGGAATAGGTATATAACCAAAGAAGAGCAATGAATGACTGAGTAAATGGTTAAGAAAAAGATGGCAATGAACTCCTTAACAGTTTTAGTGGAGACACACCTCCCTTCTCTCCTCCAGCCTCGTTTTCCACTATCTCTTCTAGAAACTACTATCCACAGCTCACAGGGAGATTGGCAGTTGCAGGGAACAAGGTTAACTGAGGTGGCACAGATGAGCTCTCCTCTGGGAGTTCATTAAAAGGTGCTGTGGCTTAAGTGTGGTGTCGTGTGTTTAGACTCTCATTGAGGGAGAGGACAGATCCAAAGACCAGTACCCCCAAGGCCGCCGCAACTGCCGGGTCCCAGATTTTTCACAGTCAAGCCGCCCCAACTTGATGCCAACTCAGAATGCAGTCACTTGAAGTTTCTTCTCCTCACCCACTCCTTGCTAATATGAAACAGGATTTTTCAGTGACTACCACTTCTACTTGAAATGGCACATGATTTTCAGGTGTCCTGAGTGCTGGTCCCAGAACACAGACAACAAACCAAGTGATGTTGGGCAGCCTACATCAAGTTTTTGTGCTTATAATCTGTGATCTACAAAATGAGGGACAAGACTCAGTGGTCAATAAATCAAATTCTGTGTCAACAAGGAGGGCAACTCCAAAATCCCTGCTTTGGATGCCTTTAAAAACTTTCATTCTTCACTAAAAACTTTCTTTCTTCATATGAGAGACTAGATGCTCACGCTTCTGCTTTTCAACTGCAGATCCTGGTCCACTCTTTAGTCTGTGTTTTGAATTTTTGTTGGTTCAATTCTAACTTGAACCCTGGCTTAAACAAATCTCTCTTTTTCTACCCTGTGTACCAAAAATTCTTCCCATTTCTTTCCATGAATTCCGTGAAGCTCCGTGCCGGCTCCTACCAGCAATCAAGATCAACAGTTCTGCTCTTTTTCTCTCCCGCATAAATGGGGCCCGATAGGAAAATACCATTAGCTGTTTGCTTGGTCTTTGGCTGAGAGCATTTTCAACACATAATGTAGATAACTGTGTGAGGGCCAACGTGGACAACCTGCAGGCTGCCGGGTATGGAAGGTATGTTGTTGGGCACCAAATTCCAACCCCTGCTCTCCCCGAAGTACAAGAATCTCATTCTTCACCTTTTCAAATATTTGCCTTGTGTTTACACAGTGTCTGTGTGTTTGCGGAGCAGACTCACTGGACGCTTTTTCATGGGTTCTGAGGGGCTTTGCATTGGAACAGATTTGAGAGGTCATTTTAGTTCAGCATGCCACATAGGGCAGGAGCATCATGGGAATGTTCTTGATGCTTGCTCACCTGCTCTTCAGCCATGGGGCGAAAATAAATGCCTCTCAGGCCTACCTCCGCTATTCATAAGCCTTGTTTTTAAGAAGAAATTTCCCAGGTATCCCCCAGATCTGTCTCCCTGTGACTTTTGTACATGAATCAAACCCAAGATCTAGCTGTTGGTGGACAACAGGAAGCCATGCATGAGTAGAAAGCTCTGAGAATCTGGCTCCCCATGTTCACCTGCAGCAGCAGAGACTGCTGAGGTCACCTGGGGTCTGGTTTCCAGTACCACACCAGTGACTCTGTGACTGAAGACCACACCAATCCGTACAGAAGTTAAATATAATGTGTGTAGGGGTTGTTATGTCCCACGACTGTACCATGACCACAATATTGCCAGGAGACAAGGGGCACAGGGCATTGGATACAGTTCTCAAGTCTTTCCCTGAAAATCACTATTACCAGTTAACAAATGTGTCATGAATGGTTTTTTAAAATCCCGATTGCAAAAGCCAAGATCAAACAAATACACAATTTCTGTGTCGTTTTCTGCACTGGGTGAATTGATGTTTTGACATTTCAATCCTGATTACAACAGCATACATTCTAATTCTGTCTAGGAAGTGAATGAGGCATTACCTGTGGTTTTCCTGATTTCTCATTTCTACTCTTATTTTCAAGTATTTTAAAAGGATCAGTTTTTCAAAACACCCAGTGGCTGCTCAGCTCCCCTTGGGTAATATCTCAGTTCTCTAGCTTGGGTCTCTACAGCGGCCCTGCAAGTGCCCCTTCTCCCATCAAGTACTGTTTGCTGGCTCTCTGATACAGACCGCCACACCTGACGCTTTGCCCCAGAGACTGCTCACACAGTAGCTTATCTTCATCAGGACACCAGTCCCTAGCTTTGCGCACTCCATCATGGCCTTCATGTCATGGTCATTTCATCAGAAGTTTCTGGTGAATAGATTACCCCTTCTCATTCCATTTCCTCAGTCATCTCTTCAAAACCAAACTGTTGTGCTTAATGCTATGGTCCCAAAGGGGACACACTGGTTACCTGAACACACACACACACACACACACACACACACACACACACACACACACACACACACACACAGAGTTGAAAATAATATTTAAAGAGAAAACAGCCTTGTCCTGGTACTAGCCTTGTTCTCTGTCCCTTCTTATTTCCCAGTCAAGGAGAAAACAAGTAAGGTTAGTAACACAGCCTCAAGGAACAAGGGTGTTCTGTTTCTTCTCGCCTTTAAGCTTTGGCTGGGCCAGGCTAAGGGGGGGAAGTTTCCACTTCAGTCCTATGGATTGTGTGAAAAAGGCTCTGTATGCAGCAGAGAAGGGAGCCCACACTGTGTGGACAGACTCCGGCAGCTAGCAGGGTGTAGCATAGGACTGGCTGGGTTCCTCATAAATTATAAATGATTTATGATGTTCTTCTGGCCACAGAGTGACAGCCATGGAGCCTGCATTCAAGTGAGGCCAAAGCATATGCCACCAGCTCCTTTCAGTGGATAGTTGGCCAGGATTTCCTGTTA